TGGGCAGCAGGAGGAGGAGGCCTGAATACGGGAGCCGGATGGATGGTTGGCTCGTCCTTGGAAGATGTCTCGGCCTCAAGGAGAGAGGCGAGCGAGAAGTTGTCGAGTTTGCCTGGCCCGTGAATACGACTAAAGTCGGTGGCCATGACGGCGTTCACGAAGGACGTCATCTGGGCCACGAAGGCATCGCCCCCATCGATGGAAAGCAGATCGTGGTGCGCGGCCCGCAGAACCCAGTCTGTGGCTTTCACAATGGAGGTGGTCAATACCTTGAGATCGCCAGGAAGATCCTCGACTGTGTCTCGGAACTTCAAGGTGTATTGACCTAGAAGAAGGTCGACAGAGGGGTCCCTTGAGACCTCCTCCCCTCCCTGTGTGCCCTCAACCTCCATCTCCTGGGGGTGGGCTGTCCCTGAGTCAGACTCATCTGCAGACGAATGGGCAGAACCCGTGGTGGAACCACGAGCAGAAGGAGCATCGTCAGCATGCGGGATGTTGCAAGGGCAATGCAAAAGCGAAGCCTCCTGTGCCGCCCACCCCTCGCGACCAGCCCTGCCCCCACAAGGGCCGCTGCGTCAATTGCCACAAGGACCACGCCGCCAACTCGGCCTCGTGTAAGTTCTGGGCCCATCGCTACGACCGTGAGTGGATCATGGCCGAGTATCGTCAGGTACATGAGCACGCTGCTCGCCGCCAACTTACTAACCCCCGAACCTAGACTAATGTTGGGAAACCTTCAGGATCTAAGTAGTGGGCTTTGTATTTTTTGTCAGAACGTTCGCCATACGTATGCACACATCGATACTCTTCTAGAAATTTGTAAAACAAAATTTGATATTTTATTCTTCCAAGAAACGCCTTGGAATTTCATAAGACACGCACCGTCCACCACCAGTATGGAGGGCGATGAGGTTATCGGCACACCAAAGCATCCCGACTGGCTGCAGATGGTGCGCATTAAGGAAGGGGAGGTTCCCCGCGTGATCGCCTACGTCTCGACTAGGCTGTCCCGCTATCGTCCCGCTATGCGTCGCGACATCGTCGACCATCGCGACATCCTCGTCCTCTCCCTCTTCAGCGGGGGTGAGGTTCTTAATCTAATGAACGTCTATTCTGACGACCAACACACAGCCATTGAGCACCTCGCTGCTCGTGTGCATTCTTTACCACCTTTCATTTATATGGCTGGTGACTTTAACTGCGTGTCGACGACTTGGGATGACTATGAGCATGGTGAGTCGTCGACAGCAATATCACTGCGGGATACCGCATCTCAGATCGGCCTCGAGTGGGCACGACCTACTAACCATGGACCGACACGGATCAGTCCTAATTCAAACCAGAGATCCAATGTCTTGGATCTTGTATTCTTAGCTCCATCTGAGATCCTCATCTCGATGCCCAGATTGGAGCACGATCTCCAGGGTCCGTCAGATCATGTCCCGATCTGTACGGATCTTGATATCGGTCCCGAACCGCCCGGATCTGGGCGACGGGTAATTAAACCCGGAAGTGAGGCTGAGAAGTCTTTCATTTCGGATATTCTACGGGATCTTGCGGCTATTCCTGTCGCAGCCCCAGCAACCAAGGAAGGTGTTGAAGCTTTAGCTGATGCTATTGCGACAGCATTTTCGGACGCGTGGTTTGCCCACTCGACCGAGTCCAAACCTACCAAGCACTCCAAGTCCTGGTGGACGGACGAGTGCTCGGAGACATTCGGAGTATATCAGTTGAGCCGCTCGCTCGCTGACTACAACAAGTTTAAAAAGGCGTGTAAGGACGCCAAGCGTGATTTCTTCGATGAACGCATCGCAGAAATCGCTACCTCTCGCAAGCGCCCATGGGACCTAATGGAATGGGTCAAACAGCGCAAGCTACCCCCCTGTGAGGCTATTCGCAATGGCGACCAGCCTTGCCACGATATGGACGACCTGTGGGACACCCTTCACAGCACATACAACTCGGCCTCTGGTCACGAGTTCGACGCCTCAGTCTTAGATGAGCTTCCGGATGAGCCAGTCCGCGATTGGGCTGACTTTTCGGAGCATGAGTTGTTGAGTGCCCTTAAGGGGTGCTCCAACTCCTCTGCACCAGGACCGGACCATGTTACATGGGTCCACCTAAAGGAGCTGCTCAAGGATAAACACGTCCTTGCGCTCTTCATCGTGCTGGCCAACGCTTGCCTTCGGGTGGGTCATTGGCCGCATATATTCAAGGAGTCGCTATCGGTTATCGTTCCGAAACCGAACAAGCCCTCCTATTCCATACCGAAGGCCTTCAGGCCGATCGTGCTCCTCATCACTTTCAGTAAACTTATCAAAAAGATGATTGCCAATAGGATACAGTTTGACGCTGTCAAGCATGATATCTTCCATCCCAACCAACTTGGCGGCATCCGCCAGAGGTCAACTGAGGATGCTGGATTGATTCTGACTCATCTCGTGTGAGCGGGGTGGGTTAAGGGTCTCCAGACTAGCGCTCGACTCCTCATTACTGATGAGATGTCTTCATGTTCATGGCTGTTCTTCGCAAGCAAGGGTTTTCGCCTGTTCTGGTGGAATTCTTTGCCTCTTACCTTGTAGGCCGCTCCACAGTTTACTGTTGGAACACCTTCCAATCCGACTCACGGTCTGCGGATGTGGGTGTCGGGCAGGGCTCTGCTCTCTTGCCTGTTATCTCTGGGCTGTTCATTGCTCCGGTAATGAAGCTCTTCTACATCAAAGCGGCGCCACTCAACATGACGCTGCTGTCTTTTGTGGATGATGGGACCATTCTGGCCCAATCCAAACAACTTGATGATAATAATGTGGGCCTGCGTAAGGCCTACAAAATTATCTACCTTCTCTTTGTTGCCTTCGCGCTCGTTCTTGAACACGACAAGACCGAGCTGTTTCACTTTTCGCGTCGACGAGACGCCTACAATCCCTCGCTGGATTTGGGGTACGCCCCTCATACCGGCGCCACACCTTTGAAACCTAAGACCTATTGGAGGTACTTGGGCTTCTACTTTGACCGCGGGCTCACGTTCCATGAGCACGTTCGCTACTACACCACCAAGGCGTTTACCACCGTGCAAGCCATGCGCATGCTCAGGAACTCTACTAGAGGTCTATCGCCTAAACAGCGCCGCCTCTTATATCGATCGTGTGTGGTCCCTATTGCCACATACGGTTATCGTCTCTGGTATTTTGATGGCGCCCGCAATAAGGGCGCGATGAACCAGCTAAAACGGATGCAGCGAAAAGCTGCTCTATGGATCACGGGTGCTTTCCGCACCTCACCCACAGGCGGTCTTGAGGCCCTCGCTGGCCTCATCCCCGTCCATCTCATGCTGAAGAAGTTGGCGACGCGCGCAGTGTATCGCGTCGCCACCCTCTCAGACACCCACCCTCTTCGATCCATGATGGGCGAGGGACTCCTCAAGCGAGCTGCACCACATGCTCGCTCTGCCGCCTTGATGACCCCAGCTATGCGAGGGAAAGTCAAGAGCACTGTCATGGAGGTGGATGAGCGCGTCCACACCTTAACTGAGAGCTTCGAGCCCTTTGCGCCCGAAGCTCGCCCAGGTGATTGGTTATTGGACCGCTTTGCGGACTGTCTCCACTTTGACGAGCGCGATCCTGCCCAGGATAGGCGTCCATACCTAGACGAGCTCATCGCGAGAGCGAGGGCCGACCCACTAACAGTACTGGCTGCAACTGATGGCTCTGTCCCTCAGTCCAACCAGTATCAGGCGGCTTCGGCTGCTATAATCTACAAGGGACATCGCGAGCTCGAAAGGACGCGCTATGTCTCTGGCAGAGTTACCGCCCCAGATGCGGAGCTCAATGCCATTTCGTGCGCAGTGCGCCTTGCTGTCAAGCAGGCAAACTGCCAACATATTATGGTCTTTACTGACTCTATGGGCTCAGCCCATAGAGCGGTTGACCCCGGCGTGCATTCTGGTCAGGCTTTCAGCCTGTCAGTTTGTCGCGTTCTTAAAGAGTGGTTTGAGGCGGACGATCTCCGTCGCGTAACCTTCGTTTACGTCCCTTCTGCTCTGCGGTGGGACATCCATGGTGAGGCACACAAGTACGTCACAGAGCTTAAAGTCAGGGTTGGACGTCGTAAGACGGACAACTCCATAGATGCGCTACGCTCTCGAGCCGCGCACTCAGTCTTGGATTCGTGGAGTTCCACTTTCCAGGATCCAACCTACCGAGACTCTGAGTTTTTAGAGCTTCAACAGCCTGACGGGCAGCCGATCCAGCCATCATACCTCAACGGGGGACCTTGGCTCTCAACTTTCGGACACAGTATTACTGAGTTCGCTCGCGTTTGCTGGTGCATAACTGGCCACGCGCCCATTGGAGCGTATTACCGTCGCTTTAAGATCAATGAGCCTCATGGCTGCACTTGCGGGGCTGCTTTGCAGTCCCGCCAGCACATCCTCTTTCGCTGTCACGATAGATATTCTGTACATTATCCCCGTTTCCTCGGGGATATTGCATCGTTTATGAAGTACAACCCTACCGCGTTTGGCTTCAACCGGGACCCCTCGGGTGTCGGATAATCGTTGTGGGTGGGGTTGTTCCTCCTTTCGGGGGATTTATGGTGAATTGACACCACCGAGCTCTAGGGTTCGAAGACCTTTGCCTGCCGCTATTTCTTCGCGCTTGCGGCCGCTATTGTAGCGGGTTGCGGCGCCGCTAACTTTCTGCGTCTGGTCTCGGGCAGGCGCATCTCTGGCTTGTCGGCCTCAAGACACCTTGCCACCTCCCGGGTGGTGCTCTCTTATTTCATTTGCGCTGCGTGGCCTCCGAACAGCGTTTGACGACTTTGGGGTTTAGCGGGGCCTCGATGGTCTCTTCCCCTTATCCCGCGTCACCGTTTTCGCGAGGTGGGTCTGGCTTTATGGGAGCTTCGGCGTTTGAGCCATAAGGCTCGCGGTTGGGGGGGCGGACGTCCTTTAGTGGTTTACTTAGTACCCAGGCCGCGTAGTGTACGTGTTTGTAGATAGCGAGCGGGCTGCCATCGAGCACCGCTATATAAATTGTTGATAAAAAAAAAAAAAAAAAAAAAAAAAAAAAAAACCCCCGTGGTGGAACAGGACCTGCGGCGGGGCGACGTGTGGCGAGATCGAGCTGGCACGACTGTTGAGTATGTGGCCCTAGTCGAGGTAGGGTCTGGAGAGATTGGCGAGGCATCACCGCCAAAAGACGATGAGCCAGCAACCGATGGTGGTATTGCTGGTGGGGCGGAGCCCGAGTCCCCCCCACGACGGCTCCTAGGAACCGCCCCGGGGGGCCTTGCGCCCCGACCTCTCGGTGGGAGGTCAGACATGTGTTGCTGGTGCGGTACAACCAATCAGGCGATAAGGTCTGACAAGGTGATAAAGCGTTGGACGACGAAGGAGACGATGAGCTGGTTGTTTATGCTTGTTGACAAGTGGGCGTTCGAGAGAAAGAGGCAAGACATTTGGAGCATATCAGTTGAGCTGCTCACTCGCTGATTACAACAAATTCAAGAGGGCATGCAAAGATGCCAAGCGTGATTTCCTTGATGAACGCATTGCAGAAATCACTACTTCTTGCAAGCCCCTGTGGGACCTAATGGAATGGGTCAAACAGCGCAAGCTGCCACCCTGCGAGGCTATTCACAATGGCAACCAGCCTTGTCATGATATGGACAACCTTTGGGACACCCTTCACGGCACGTACAATTCGGCCTCAGGCTGCGAGTACAATGCCTCAGTCTTAGACGAGCTTCCTGATGAGCCAGTCCGTGAGTGGGCTGACTTCTCGGAGCATGAGTTGTTGAGTGCCCTTAAGGGGTGCTCCAACTCCTCTGCACCAGGACCGGACCATATCACATGGGTCCACCTAAAGGAGTTGCTCAAGGATAAACATGTCCTTGCGCTCTTCATTGTGTTGGCCAACGCTTGCCTTCGGGTGGGGCATTGGCTGCATATATTCAAGGAGTCACTATTGGTTATCGTTCCGAAGCCAAATAAGCCCTCCTATGCAGTCCCTAAGGCTTTCAGGCCTATTGTACTCCTCATCACTTTTGGTAAGCTTATCGAAAAGATGATTGCAAACAGGATACAGTTTGACGCTGTCAAACATGATATCTTTCATCCAAACCAGCTTGGCGGCATTTGCCAGAGGTCAACTGAGGATGCTGGATTGATTCTGACTCATCTCGTGTGTGCGGGGTGGGTTAAGGGTCTCCAGACTAGTGCGCTGGCTTTCGACATCATGCAGTTCTTCCCTTCTATCAACCATGAAATGTTCATGGCTGTTCCATGTAAGCAAGGATTCTCGCTGGTTTTGGTGGAGTTCTTTGCCTCTTACTTAGTTGGTCACTCTACAGTTTACTGTTGGAACACCTTCCAGTCTGACTCGCGCTCTGTGGACGTGGGTGTCAGGCAGGGCTCAGCTCTCTCACCTGTTATCTCAGGGCTTTTCATTGCTCCAGTGATGAAGCTCTTCTACATCAAGGCAGCGCTGCTCAACACGATGCTACTCTCCTTTGTGGACGATGGGACCATTCTGGCCCAATCCAAACAACTTGATGATAATAATGTGGGCCTGCGTAAGGCCTACAAAATTATCTACCTTCTCTTTGTTGCTTTCATGCTCGTACTTGAACATGACAAGACCAAGCTGTTCCACTTCTCGTGTCGACGTGACACCTATAATCCTTTGCTGGATTTGGGGTATGCTCCGCATACCAGCGCTACACCTCTGAAAGAGCTTTGAGCCCTTTGTGCCCAAAGCTCGCCCCGGTGATTGGTTACTGGACCGCTATGCGGACCGTCTCCATTTTGACAAGTGCGATCCTACCCAGGATAGGCGCCCATATCTCAATGAGCTCATCACGAAAGTGAGGGCTGACCCTTTAACAGTACTGGCTGCAACTGATGACTCTGTCCCTCAGTCCAACCAGTATCAGGCGGCCTTGGCTGCCATCATCTACAAGGGACATCGTGAGCTCAAAAGGACTTGTTATGTCTCTGGCAGAGTTACCGCCCCAGATGCGGAGCTTAATGCCATCTCATGTGCAGTGCGTCTTGCTGTCAAGCAGGCGAATTGCCAACATATCATGGTCTTTACTGACTCTATGGGCTCAGCCCATAGAGCGGTCGACCCCTCCGTGCACTCTGGTCAGGCTTTCAGTCTGTCAGTCTGTCGCGCTCTCCAAGAGTGGTTCAAGGCAGATGATCTCCACCGCATCACCTTTATCTACGTTCCATCTGCATTGCGGTGGGACATTCACGGTGAGGCACATAAGTACGTCACCGAACTTAAAGTCAGGGTTGGACATTGCAAGACAGACAATTCTATAGACGCGCTCTGCTCTCAAGCTGTGCACTCAGTCCTAGATTCGTGGAGTTCCACTTTCCAGGATCCAACCTACCAGGGCTCTGAATTCTTAGAGCTTCAACGGCCTGACGGGCAGCCGATCCAGCCATCCTACCTCAATGGGGGACCTTGGCTCTCAACCTTCGGACACAGTATCACTGAGTTCGCTCACGTCTGCTGGTGTATGACTGGCCACATGCCCATTGGAGCGTATTACCGTCGCTTCAAGATCAATGAGCCTCACGGCTGCACTTGCAGGGCTGCTTTGCAGTCTCGCCAGCACATCCTCTTTCACTGCCACAATAGATACTCTGTACACTATCCCTCTTTTCTCGGGGATATTGCATCATTTTTGAAGTACAACCCTATGGCGTTTGGCTTCAACCGGGACCCCTCGGGTGTCAGGTAATCACTGCGGGCAGGGTTATTCCTCCTTTCAGGGGATTTATTGGTGAATTGACACCCTCGAACCTTAGGGTTTGGAGACCTGTGCCCACAACTACTTCTTTGTGCTTGCAGCCCACTATTATAGCGGGTTGCGGCGCTGCTAACTTTCTGTGTCTGGTCTCAGGCAGGCACATCTCTGGCTGGTCGGCCTCAAGACACCCTGCCACCTCCCGGGTGGTGCTGTTCTTATTTTCATTTGCGCTGCAGGGCCCCCGAACAGCGTCTGACGACTATGGGGCATAGCAAGACCTCAATGGTCTCCTCCCCTTATCCCAATGCACCATTTTCGCAAGGTGGGTTGCCCTCTGGGAAGTTTCAACGCAGACACCAGAAGGGTCTTGGTTGGGGGGGCGGTTGTGTTTTAGTACTTAACTTAGTAACTGGGTCACATAGTGTGTGTGTTCTGTAGATAGCGAGCGGGCTGCCATCGAGCACCGCTATATAAATTGTTGATTCAAAAAAAAAAAAAAAAAAAAAACATTTTATAAGTGCAATATGTTTGATACTCTTATCTGGTGATTCAAATATACAAAATTCAGCCACCTGGGTCATGAGCCATCATTCCTCCCACTTTGTTGGCTGGAGTTGTGTAAACTGGAGTGGAAACTGTTTTTTGCTTCTTGTTTGATGAATCTGATTATATGAATATAATCAGATTCAGCAAATAAATCATCTAATAGAAGGTATCCACTATCGTTAGCATTATTTGGTTTTCTCTTAGAAGTATTTTTTGGAACTTGAGTATCATTCTTCTTCTTTCTTTGAGCAATTCCTGGTTGTCCTTCCTCAATTTCTCTTCTCATTAAATCAAAGTCAACCTCAACTTGAGATGGCATGTACTTTGAACACTTCTCCATGTAGTCAACCATCTTGAGCAATAGTGTTTTATGGTTTGAGTTCTTTCTGGGTGCTTCTAGCCAATGACAAGGAGAGATATCTTGTCCTTTATGCTTTACAGTAATTGAGGACATGAGTTTGACAGGATCAATGTCAAATTCTTCAAATGGAAGTTGTGTTCCAAAGTACTGCACTAAAAGATACATATTGTTGAAGAAAAAATTGACGAGTGATTGAGGCTCCATGATGACAGCTCCATCGATAGCATAATTTGCTGATTCAGAAACCGATGTGCCATCATATCCACTAAAATCTTTATAAATAATCTGCTCATCAAGTATTCAGAATAAGCTTACATATAGCCAGAAATTTCTGGCAGAATTGAAAAGTTCTGATTTTTTGTCCAATTTGCCAATGGAATCATGCTATTTCCATTTCCAAGCATTATAGATCATGGAGAATATGAGACCAAGGCAAATCAAAGAGTGTCGTGTGCTACTTCCTCTTCTGGAGGTGCAATTGGAGGAGATCCACCATGTCAAGTGAGACTGCAGAAGTTCATGACCATAAAGGCTGCAGAACAAAGTAGCATCCGAGAGCTAAAAGATGGAATCTTCCAGGTTCATAGTTGCTTGGCAGATTGCTATTCGCAATCATTGAAGTCATTGCTGCAACCCAATCAAAGCCATCGATATGACCATCTGTCGATCCAAATTCACCCATCCCTTCAAGACCCTTTTCTAAAACACACTCAGAATAAGCCTCTTAGATATCTAACACAAACTTACCAGTGCATTCTTCATAGCTTACAGCTGGTGCTATGTTGAGTTGCATTGCAGGAAAGGCAAAGTTATCTTCAATACCAATCCTAGGTACGTTGTGGTAACAAGAATGTTCTTCCAGAATTTCTAGCATTTCAGCTGGTGCATACATTCTCATTGACGTCATTGAGACTGTGGCACATAGCTGCCATAGATTTAACAAATTCAGACTTGTGTTCTTTTACAATCACAAAATCTTACCTTTGCAATTTTTTGACGGATTTTTTCATTTGGTGTCAGCTCGCCATTATAGATTTTACTACTAGCTGCAGGTCCCACAATGTTGGGTGAATGTTGGTGCGACATGCTTATACCAAAGCATCGTAAATCCTTCACATCAGGATCGATACCCCAGCATTCAAAGCCAGTTCCTCCCATCAATACACCATTGATCATAATAGGCCTGTCCAGAGTCGTTTGTGCTCGTTTTGCCTCTGTGACCTCCCTGTTAAAACTTCCATCACATGTCTCAACTTCTATATGGGGTTGGACCACATGACTGTACATGACTGTGTCCTCAGACATCACCTGATCATGTGAGGACACAGTCATGTGCAGTCATGTGGTCCAACCCCATATAGAAGTTGAGACATGTGATGGAAGTTTTAACACACCCCCATGATCAAACATGTCTCAAAGTTCAAAAATTAAACCAAAACACCCATTCTGTCTCTGCAATATTGGACTTTGGGGATAGGTAGAGGTTTGGTGAGCAGGTCAGCAATGTGTTCAGCAGTGGGAATGTAGTGAGGAGTGATCACCCCCTCATTGACTGCTTCACGCAGCCAGAAGAAACGGAGGTCAAGTTGTTTCAAGAATCTCTGAACTACTTGAGTAAAGCCTAGTGCCAGCCCATGCAGTGCACCAGAATGGCAGAGTAGTCATGTTCATCCTTAGGTATATAACCAATATCCAACTCATATTGAACATAGACCATATAGCTCAGTGGTTAGAGTGCCTGTGCATGGAACCAGGAGGTCCCAGGTTCAATCCCTGATGTGATCACTTTTAGACATTTAACACTCCCCCCTCTCCTTGTATCTTGTCTGTACCATAATTTGATTGTATCTAGCTTTTTCTTTTGTTAAATATGAACATTATGTATTTATTCATTCATCTGACATAAGTATCAGCAAAGGCCTTCAACCCTCAGAGCCACTTAGGACTTTGCACTGTCCTTTGTTTGCTTTAGAGGCACAACAAATACAAGTACACATTTGTCTACATTGCCAGCAAATTGCTTTCTTCTGATCTCTTCCTCATCTTCTTACCATCTAGCTGCTTTCTTCATCCCTCCAGGGCATATTTGATAAGTGGATACAGTACCAAACCGATTCACTCTTCTCTGAGCCCAATCTATCTTCTTTCTATTCATCAGCAAGCTCCTTTCAAGCTTTGAATATGGTACTGAACCAATTCAAGCCCCCAGACATTTGGACCTTTAACATGCCAATTCCCATTGCGTCAGTCTATGCCCTTGAGATATCTGATAGCCCACCGCTAAACCAGGTTGTAGCCAGGGAAGGGTCCTTGTTTTAAATGGGCACATCATTTATTCTCCTAACAGCACCTTGGACGTTGCTCTCCCTGCTCCAGATCCTGACAAAGGAAGGTTCAACAATGTCTTCAAGCAAAAACATGACAATCCTTCCTGGTACTTGCAACCCAGGTGGTGGAACTTAAGATGGGGATGGATGGCATTCATTCCTCAGCACCCAGTTTTTACTGGAGACTTGTTTGGTGTCTTGTCCCACCTGCCTTATCCTGTCTTAATGCAAGAAGGCTATACTATTCCACCATCTTATGGTGAGCGCTGGGCTGCTCTGGAACATTACCTGTCCACAGTAGCCAGTTCTCTACGACAACAGTATGGGCTCCCATCAATGCAGCCTCCATGCATATGGACTCAGGGTTACAATCACCACTTCAATCATTTTACACCTCACAAAAGGCCATATCCGCCTCAAGAGACTGGTTTAGAGTTTGGATAGGCTTTGTTTTTCTTTTTTTTCTTTTTTTTTTCTTTTTTTTTTTTTTGATCAACAATTTATATAGTGGTGCTCGATGGCAGCCCGCTAGCTATCTACAAACACGTATGCTACGCAACCTGGTTACTAAGTTAACCACTAAAGGACGACCGCCCCCCCAACCAAGACCCTTTGGGCTCAAACGCCAAAACTCCCCAGAGGGCAACCCACCTCGTGAAAACGGTGCATTGGGATAAGGGGAGGAAACCATTGAGGTTCCGCTACGCCCCAAAGTTGTCGATCGCTGTTCGGAGGCCACGCAGCGCAAATGAGATAAGAGAAGCACCACCCGGGAGGTGGCGGGGTGTCTTGAGGCCGACAAGCCAGAGAAGCGCCTGCCTGAAACCAGACGCAGAAAGTTAGCGGTGCTGCAATCCGCTATGATAGTGGGCCGCAAGCGCAAAGAAGAGAAGCTGGTGCAGGTCGCCGAACCCTAAGGTCCGTGGTGTTAATTCACTCTAAATCCCCCAAAAGGAGGAATAACCCCGCCTGCAACAATCATCCGACCCCTGAAGGGTCTCGGTTGAAGCCAAACGCTGTAGGGTTGTACTTCATAAACGATGCAATATCCCCGAGAAAACGGGATAGTGTACAGAATATCTATCACGGCAGCGAAAGAGGACGTGCTGACGGGACTGCAAAGCAGCCCCGCAAGTGCAGCTGTGAGGCTCATTGATCTTGAAGCGACAGTAGTACGCTCCAATGGGCACGTGGCCAGTTATACACCGGCAAACGTGAGCGAACTCAATGATACTGTGTCCGAAAGTTGAAAGCGAAGGTCCCCCATTGAGGTAGGATGGCTGGATCGGCTGCCCGTCAGGCTGTTGAAGCTCTAAGAATTCAGAGCCTCGGTAGGTTGGATCCTGGAAAGTGGAACTCCACGAATCCAGGACTGAGTGCGCGGCTCGGGAGCGTAGCACGTCTATAGAGTTGTCCGTCTTGCGACGTCCAACCCTGACTTTAAGCTTGGTGACGTACTTGTGTGCCTCACCATGGATATCCCATCGCAGCGCGGACGGAACATAGACGAAGGTGATGTGGCGGAGGTCATCCGCTTCGAACCACTCTTGGAGAGCGCAACAGACTGACAAGCTAAAAGCCCGACCAGAATGCACGGAAGGGTCAACCGCTCTATGGGCTGAGCCCATAGAGTCAGTAAAGACCATAATATGTTGGCAGTTTGCCTGCTTGACAGCAAGGCGCACTGCACACGAGATGGCATTGAGTTCCGCATCTGGCAGCACTTTGTGGTCCCCCACAGAGTGCTATAGGACTCCACTGGACTCCAGTGGAGTTGGCATATTATCCAGTGGAGTCCAATGGAGTCCAGTGGAGTTCTACTGGAGTTCAGTGGACTTCAGTAGACTCCAGTAAGAAGGTATAGTGGAGTTCAGTGGAGTCCAGTGGAGTCCAGTAAGAAAGTATACTGGACTCTACTGGAGTGTGATACTGGAGTCTTACTGGAGTCTTACTGGACTCCACTGGACTCCAGTATATGTATCAAAATGGACTACTACTCAGTACCTATTACACATCAGAATAGATAATAGTCTGTTGAGCAATTGCCTAAGTCCAGCATATAGAGTATGTAATAAGATGCTTAATAATCATTCTTTTTAGGAAAAAGCATCAGAATTTGTAGAGCACCTTTGGTTGACCCTGAATCAAGTTATTTGATGTCATCAGCTGCTCTGCTTGGCAAGAAAAAAGCAAAATACTGAAAAAGTAGAGTACTTTTGCAAATTTTAGCATTATTTGGCTTATATCTTGTTATCAATAGAGCCAAATACCATCACTCAAGGGGATTCAGAATCATTGTTTATTGCAATTATTTTCTCCTAAAAAGAATTTTTCTCATAGTCATGTGACCTGCATATTTCATATTGTTAGCACCCCTAGTCCCTGTGTAGATAGAGCACATTTTGGCAAGATCTAATTTGTCACATGTGACTCTAATATTGATGTTATCAGCAAAATTGACAGCTTTATTACTTTTTATCAATGCCAAGTCTAGGTCTAGCAATCATATATTTATTAATTGTTTCTATTTGAGGCTATAACATTGAAGTTTCAGAAGCTGATCCTGAAGGAATAGGCAAATAAAAAGTCACATGACTGGCCATCAACCTTAGCATCAGTCACATTTCTCTTCTATGACTATGACATCTCTCTGCATTGTTCACTGGACTCCAGTGGAAGATAGACACTCCACTCCAGTAGACTCCAGTGAACTCCAGTAGACTTTGGGTGGTGACTCTAGTGGACTCCAGTGAACTCCACTGGAGTCCAGTAGGCACTTTTGGCTGGTGTTCCTGCTAATATATGTCTACCAGACTCCACTGGAGTCCACTGGAGTCCTATAGGGATACGTGGGGGAGTGTAAAGACCTCGCATCTGGGGCGGTAACTCTGCCAGAGACATAACGAGTCCTTTCAAGCTCACCATGTCCCTTGTAGATGATGGCAGCTGAAGCCGCCTGATACTGGTTGGACTGAGGGACAGAGCCATCAGTTGCAGCCAGTACTGTTAGAGGGTCGGCCCTCGCTTTCGCGATGAGCTCGTCTAGATATGGTCACCTATCCTGGGCAGGATGATGGCAGCCTGCTTGCTATCTACAAACACATATGCTATGCAGCCTGGTTACTAAGTTAAGTACTGAAACACGACCGCCCCCCCAACCAAGACCCTTCTGGTGTATACATCGAAACTTCCCGGAGGGCAACCCACCTTGCAAAAATGGTGCATTGGGATAAGGGGAGGAGACCATTGAGGTCTTGCTATGCCCCATAGTCGTCAGACGCTGTTCGGGGGCCCCGCAGCACAAATGAAAATAAGAACAGCACCACCCGGGAGGTGGCAGGGTGTCTTGAGGCCGACCAGCCAGAGATGTGCCTGCCCGAGACCAGACACAGAAAGTTAGCGGCGCTGCAACCTGCTATAATAGCAGGCTGTGAGCGCAAAGAAGTTACAAGTTCTTATGTAAGTAAGACTCATTCTTTCAACCTGGGACACAGAGATCATTTTACTTTCCCACATTACGGTCATCCATGCCTTTTTTCCCACAGTAAGTATTACATTGATGGCATAGCTACATTTTCAATAGTTCACTACATTTTTACTGGCTACTGTAGTAATTGTTCAGCCACCGCCACCTGCCCCTCTCACCCAACAACCACCTGCTCGCCCTCCTCACCCTCTGCCTCTCGCCCCTACCAACAGCCTTCAAGGACGCCAAATGACACCAAACATGGAGGTTCAGCGTTGTTCGCACTAGTTCTGTGTCCCACCTGCCTGCCCATCTAGCACCGCCTGCCTCTCACCTTCTGCCACCACCACCCCCTCCTCTCGCCCCTCTGACACCATGTGGAGGAGTCCAGATGATGGCGGTTGTGAAACAGGAAGGGGCCCAGCAAATTTCACAAGTGTTTGTAGAGACGCAAAAAAATGATGCATGAAAACTCTCAGAGACCTTTTGTGCGTCATAGGTCCCACACCCCCAGGGGCCCAACTGGTGCACGAATGGCCCCTAACTGCAAGGCTCAGGGTCGTTCGTGCTCATTCTTGCCCCACTGCCCGCCTGGTTCACCCCACCACCACTCCCTCGCCCTCCTCAGCCTCTGCTGCCATGTCTCGCCCATCGAACACCCCCAGGGGCTGTCCAACAATGCCCCTGGTGCGCCAATGACCCCAAACAGTGATGTTCAGGGTCGTTTGGGCTTGTTCTTGCCCCACTGCCCTCCTTGTTCACCCCACCACCTGTTTGCCCTCCTTGCCCTCCACTGCCCCTTCTCACCATCCAACACCCCCAGGGGCTGTCCAACAATGCCCCTGGTGCACAAATGAGCCTGAACTTCAGAGTTCGGGCTCGTTCAGGCTCGTTTTTTTGCTGCTGCCTGCCTGGTTCACCCCACCCCCTCACCCTCCTCACCCTCCTTGCCCTCCACTGCCACATCTTGCCATCTGACACCCCCAGGGGCCGTCCAACAACACCCCTGGTGCATGAACAGCCCAGAACTGTGACATTTGGGGTCGTTCGTGCTCATTCTCGCCCCACTGCCTGCCTGGTTCACCCCACCACCACCCACTCGCCCTCCTCACCCTCTGCCACCGCATCTCACCATCTGACACCCCCAGAGGCCATCCAACGACGCCCCTGGTGCACAAACAAGCTTGAACTTCAGAGTTCAGGCTTGTTTGTGTGCGTTCTCACCCCACCGCCTGCCTGGTTCACCCCACCCCCTCACCCTCCTTGCCCTCCGCCACTGCATCTCACCATCCAACACCCCTCACCCATCTAAACGGCCCCCAAAGAGCCCCAACAACAATGAACGATGCTGAAGCTCTCATCCTCTAAAAAAGTTCACTTTCAGAACATCATGAAATAGAATAGATATATATTGAGAATAATTATGTGAAATACATGTTCCAGGAAGCAAAGGCCAAGTCATGAGTATGAATGAGAGAACACTGTTTTTTTTTTTTTTTTTTTTTCCTCAACAATTTAAATAGCGGTGCTCAGTGGCAGCCCACTCGCTATCTACAAACATGTACGCTACGTGGCCTGGGTACTAGGTAAACTACTAAAAGATGTCTGCCCCCCCAACCATGAGCCTTGTGGCTCAAACGCCTAAACTCCCACAAAGCCAGACCCATCTTGTGAAAATGGTGATGCGGGATAAGGGGAAGAGACCATTGAGGCCCCGCTAAACCCCAGAGTCATCGGACGCTGTTCGGAGGCCATGCAACGCAAATGAGATAAGAACAGCACCACCTGGGAGGTGGCAGAGTGCCTTAAGGCTGACAAGCCATAGAAGCGCCTGCCCAAGACCAGACACAGAAAGTTAGCAATGCTGCAACCCGCTATATTAGTGGGCCGCAGACACGAATAAGTGAAGCTGGCAAAGGTCTTCAAACCCTAGAGCTCGGTGGTGTCGATTCACCATAAATCCCCCGAAAGGAGGAACAACCCCACCAGCAGTGATTACCCAATACCCGAGGGGTCCTGGTTGAAGCCAAACACCGCAGGTCCTGTTCCACCACAGGTTCTGCCTATTCGTCCGCAGATGAGTCTGACTCAGGGACGGCCCACCCCCAGGAGATGGAGGTTGAGGGCACACAGGGAGGGGAGGAGGTCTCGAGGGACCCCTCCGTTGACCTTCTTCTAGGTCAATACACTTGAAGTTCCGAGACACTGTCGAGGATCTTCCTGGTGATCTCGAGGTATTGACCACCTCCATTGCGAAAGCCACAGACTGGGTTCTGCGGGCAGCGCACCACGATCCGCTCTCCATCGATGGGGGCGATGCCTTTGTGGCTCAGATGACGGCTTTCGTGAGTGCCATCATGAGCACTGACTTTGGCAGGATTCGTGGACATGTAATGACCTGAACAGAGGGGGGGACTTGGCCTCAGCATGCTCTTGTGCTGTGCCCCTACACATCATCTGGTTGTCCCCAATTTACAGGAACTGCCTTGGTCTTGACAAAGGAGAGACAAGAAGAAGTCATCCTGGCCAAGGCCCAGAAGACAGAGGATGAACAATAGAGCAGAGGGGTTGTCAAGGTTGAGATTCAAGCTGGGGAATCCAGTACACTACCTAGCTACTTATACTATTGAGAACAATGGAGAAGATCTAGGTTATGTAATGAATGCCAGCAGAACAATGACAGAGAACAATAAGGACAATAATGAATAGAACAATGAAGGGAAAGCCCATTGATGAACCAGAACAATGAACAATGGGACAATGGAACAATGGGTTCAGGAATGGGATGTGACAGGACAAGGCGATCTTGCAGAGATCTCTCTCGCCTCTATGCTTGAGGCTGAGATGTCTTCTAGGGAAGAACCGACTATTCACCCAGTTCCCGTGTTCAGGCCCCCTCCTCCTGCTGCCCATGGGCCACTTGATGAGGGTGTCATTGATGTAGGGGCTCTGCCTGACATCCTTATGCAGGCATTGGACGACCTTGGTTGCCTGGCCTCCCCTTCTTGCATCCCCACTTCCAAGAAGCGCAAGGGTGTCGATCGCCCGGTCCCACCTCTGCCTCAGAAGAAGAGCAAGGTGGCCTACTCTCGCCCTGGTCTGCCCCCACCGATCAATCGCGCTACCAAACCCAAGCCCCATCCGACGACGTGGGCAGGGATTGCTTGTCAGGCCGCGCTGATGCCTCCCCCGCCTCCTGGCTTGGGACTGCAACGTCGTGGGCCTTCTCCTCCACCCTCATTCCCAATGGGTCTGATGAAGACCTCTCCTCATTGATCTGTTCCTTCTTTTACTTCCGAGGGCCCCACCTGGAAGCAGGTTCTTGTGTCATTCGGGGGTACTCCTCCTGACCTCACAAAGTTCTTCACCAAGTCAGCTGTCCATGCGGCCAACGGGTACCTCAGGGATGGTCGATCTATGTTAAAGGTCACCTCCATCATCCAGCCTATGATGGTTTGTTGTTGGTCACCCCCACTGTTGCCAGCCCGTCTGACTTGGACATCCTGCACAACTTCATCCGCAAAAGCCTCCCAACGGGTACTCTGTTTGAGGTCGCACTCCCATCGTCGACATCTTTCATAAAGATACTCGACGTCCCTTACTTTGATCCGAAAGGGTTGAAGATCACCCAGGAGGCGCTTGAGAAGGCCCTCCGCACCTCGGTTCATGCTGAGGTTTTCGCGTATCTGAGCACCAAGCCTCGGATTGATCACAACTCGGAGCACTCAACATCGTGCACCATGTACTGCAACATTTGGGACTCCCAGCAGGGAACCCGTGCCAAGAAGGCCTTAGGCCAACCAATCTTCCTCGCTGGGCAGTCCTGCGCTATCAGGCCCGCTGCGCGCCACACCGGGGTCCTGCTATGCCAGCACTGCTGGAAGTGGGGCCACCCCACTGTCGCCTGCAAGGCAAAACAACTCTCTTGCCCTATCTGCTCGGGTCCACACGAGCAGAAGGAGCATCGTCAACATGCAGGATGTTGCAAGGGGAACGCGAAAGCGAAGCCCCCTGTGCTGCCCACCCCTTGCGACCAGCCCTGCCCCCGCAAGGGCTGCTGTGTCAATTGCCACAATGACCACGCGGCCAACTCAGCATCGTGCAAGTTCTGGGCCCACCGCTATGATCGTGAATGGATCATGAACAAGTATCGTCAGGTACGTGAGCATGCCGCTCGCCGCCAACTTACTAACCCCCGAACCTAGACTAATGTTGGGAAACCATCAGGATCTAAGTAGCGGGTTACGTATTTATTGTCAGAACATTCACCATACATATGCCCACATCGATACTCTGCTCGAAATTTGTAAAAACAAATTTGATATTCTATTTTTCCAAGAAACACCATGGAATTTCATAAGACACACACCATCTACCACTAGTATGGAGGGCGATGAGGTTATCGGTGCACCGAAGCATCCTGATTGGCTGCAAATGGTGTGCATTAAGGAAGGGGAAGTTCCCCACGTGATCGCCTATGTTTCGAGTAGGTTATCCCGCTATCGTCCTGCTATGTGCCGCGACATCGTCGACCATCGCGACATCCTCGTCCTCTCCCTCTTTAGCAGGGGCGAGGTTCTTAATCTAACGAGCGTGATCCTACCCAGGATAGGCGCCTGTATCTTGACGAGCTCATCGCAAAAGCGAGGGCCGACCCTTTAACAGTGCTGGCTGCAACTGATGGCTCTGTCCCTCAGTCCAACCAGTATCAGGCGGCTTTGGCTGCCATCATCTACAAGGGACATCACAAGCTCGAAAGGACTCGCTATGTCTCTGGCAGAGTTACTGCTCCAGATGCAGAACTCAATGCCATCTCTTGTGCAGTGCGCCTTGCTGTTAAGCAGGCAAACTGCCAACATATTATGGTCTTTACTGACTCTATGGGCTCGGCCCATAGAGCGGTCGACCCCTCCGTGCACTCTGGTCAGGCTTTTAGCTTGTCGGTTTGTCGCGCTCTCCAAGAGTGGTTTGAAGCGGATGACCTCCGCCGCATCACCTTTGTCTACATTCCATCTGCTCTGCGGTAGGACATCCATGGTGAGGCACACAAGTACGTCACCGAGCTTAAAGTCAGGGTTGGACATCATAAAACGGACAATTCTATAGACACGCTTCGCTCTCGAGCTGTGCACTCAGTCCTGGATTCGTGGAATTCCACTTTCCAGGATTCAACTTATCGAGGCTCTGAATTTTTGGAGCTTCAACAGCCTGACGGGCGGCCACTACAGCCATCGTACCTCAATGGGGGACCTTGGCTTTCAACTTTCGGACACAGTATCACTGAGTTCGCTCGCATCTGCTGGTGTATAACTGGCCATGCGCCCATTGGAGCGTATTATCGTCGCTTCAAGATCAACAAGCCTCATGGCTGCACTTGTGGGGCTGCTTTGCAGTCTTGCCAGCATGTCCTCTTTCGCTGTTGTGATAGATACTCTGTACACTATCCCCGTTTTCTTGGGGATATTGCATCATTTATGAAGTACAACCCCACGGTGTTTGGCTTCAACCGGACCCTTCGGGTGTCAGGTAATTGTTGCGGGCGGGGTTATTCCTCCTTTTGGGGGATTTAGGGTGAATTAACACCACGAACCTAAGGGTTCGGTGACCCACGCCAGCTTCATTTTTTCGTGCTTGCAGCCGCTATCATAGCGGATTGCGGCGCCGCTAACTTTCTGCGTCTGGTTTCGGGCAGGCGCATCTTTGGCTGGTCAGCCTTAAGACACCCTGCCACCTCCCGGGTGGTGCTTCTCTTATCTCATTTGCGCTGCGTGGCCTCCAAACAGCGATCGACGACTTTGGGGCGTAGTGGAACCTCGATGGTTTCCTCCCCTTATCCCAATGCACCGTTTTCGCGAGGTGGGTTGCCCTCTGGGGAGTTTCGGCGTTTGAGCCCAAAGGGTCTTGGTTGGGGGGGCGGTCGTCCTTTAGTGGTTAACTTAGTAACCAGGCTGTGTAGTGTACGTGTTTGTAGATAGTGAGTGGGCTGCCATCAAGCACCACTATATAAATTGTTGATAAAAAAAAAAAAAGAAAAAGAAAAAAAAAGGCTCATTGATCTTGAAGTGATGGTAGTATGCTCCAATGGGCGCATGGCCAGTTATACACTGGCAAACACAAGTGAACTCAGTAATACTGGGTCCAAAGGTTGAAAGCCAAGGTCCTCCATTGAGGTATGATGGCTGAATCAGCCACCTGTCAGGCTGTTGAAGCTCCAAGAATTTGGAGCCTCGGTAAGTACGATCTTGGAACATGGAGCCCCATCCATCCAGACTTGAGTGCGCAGCTTGGGAGCAAAGCACGTCTATAGAATTCTCTGTCTTGTGGCACCCAACCCTGACCTTAAGTTCGGTGACATACTTATGTGCTTCACCATGAATATCCCACCGCAGAGCAGACGGAACATAGACAAAGGTGATGCGGCGGAGATCATCCACCTCGAACCACTCTTGGAGAGCGTGACAGACTGACAGACTGAAAGCCTGACCAGAGTACACAGAGGGGTCTACTGCTTTGTGGGCCAAGCCCATAGAGTCAGTAAAGACCATGATATGTTGGCAGTTTGCCTGCTTAACAGCAAGATGCACTGCGCATGCAATGGCATTGAGTTCTGCATCAGGGGCGGTAACTCTGCCAGAGACATAGTGGGTCCTCCCGAGCTTGTGATGTCCCTTGTAGATGATGGCAGCTGAAGCAGCCTGATACTGGTTGGACCAAGGAACAGAGCCATCGGTTGCCACCAGTACTGTCAGGGGGTCAGCCCTTGCATTAGCAATGAGCTTGTCTAAATATGGGCGCCTATCCTGAGTAGGATTGTGCTTGTCAAAATGGAGATGGTCCGCATAGCGGTCCAATAACCGATCACCAGGGCAGGCTTCAGGCGCAAAAGGCTCAAAGCTCTCAGTTAAGGTGTGGACACGCTCATCCACCTCCATAACAGTGCTTTTGACTTTCCCTCGCATAGCTGGGGTCATCAAGGTGGCCGAGGGGGCGTGTGGTACGGCCCGCTTGAGGAGTCCCTCGCCCATCATGGAGCGAAGAGGGTGAGTGTCTGAGAGGGTGGCGACATGATACACTGCACGTGTTGCCAACTTCTTCAGCATAAGGTGGACGGGGATGAGACCTGCTAAGGCCTCAAGACCACCTGTAGGGGAGGTGCAGAATGCACCCGTGATCCATAGAGCAGCTTTTCGCTGCATCCATTTTAGCTGGTTCATCACACCCTTATTACAGGCGCCATCAAAGTACCAAAGACGATAACCGTATGTGGCAATGGGAACCACACACAATCTATAGAGGAGGTGCCGCTGTTTAGGCATGAGAGAACACTGTTGTCGAGTCACAGAGGTGGTTGTTGTTGACTTGTGGAGGCTGTCATCAAGTAGCACAACATGATGATGAACTGGTGGGGTAGAGTAAGTAATGGAAGGCGGGATTAAGGTCAGTGACACACTATGCTGGGTCTCCCACTGCTTGGGTCTCCCTTGTGGTCCTTCTCTCCATCCAGCTCTTCTGTAACCCTCATTGGAGGGCATGGGCATGGAGATGTTGGACCTGACATTGATCTGTGGAGGCAGTCATTAAGTTGTTGGAGTTGACATTGAGTTGTGGAGGACTGACATTGAGCCATGAGGGAGTGGCATCCAGTTACTGTGGCCAATGTTGAATGAGCAAGCCAGCATCAAGTAGTAGAGAGGTGTGGCCAGCATCAAGACATGGGGCCTATTATCAACTTGTGTGATGCAACAGAGAATTAGCAGGTCAGTAAGGAAGAGTGGAAGAAGAGGTAGTCACTCACTCACTGCGTTGGGCATTTGGTCTCTGGCTACTTGGGTCTCCAGCTACTCAGGTCTCCCTTTGTCTTTCTCCTCCTCCATTCAGCCCTTCAAAATGTGCCCTGTCCCTCATTGGAAGGCACAGGTGCATGGTGTAGATATGTATAGTAGAAGAAGGAGAGGAGGAATAGTGATAGTAGCAGCAGAAGAAAGAAAGCGATGATGTAGCATGCGATTATGGCCAGCACAAGTCACCTGATCACTTACCTATATAGAATTGTTACTGTCTACAAATGACATAGTATTCACATACTCTACATTATATTTATGGGTACTGTATTTTTCTCCTGTATTTTACATGAATTACACAAGTTATTTCATGAGAATTGAATAAGAATTGACAGAGATATGGAATTTGCAAGATGAGGCAAGCGGCTGTGTTGGCTTTGTTTGTTTAGCCAAATATATGACACACGAAAACTCTCCAGGAGTTTTTGTGCATCATAGCTGTCAAACTCTGCTCACATGATTGAGCAAGTCACATGTTCTTCTACTACAGAAACAGTGTCTCTATATCTCTGCAATGGCTGCAGCTACAGCTCTGAAATGTTATACACCATGAGGTGATGTTCAGAGAAGCTTACATAAGAGATTTCAGATGTTCAGGGGTGCTATGGCATGAGATATTGCATGTTTTAAATGCAGAAAACCTGCACCTCCATATCTCAACACCTACTGATGCTACAGATCTATAATTTCGAGGCCAACATCACCTATATTATATCTACTTGTGTACCAATTTTCAGCTCTATTGATTGTCTTGATGCCAAGATATTGCGATATGCACATTGTTTTAATGCTAAAAACCCACACCTCTATATCTCAACACCTACTCATGCTACAGGTCTATAAATTTGAGGCTATTATCAACCATATTAGATATACATCTGTACCAACTTTCAGATCTGTCAATAGTCCGAGTGCCAAGATATTGCAATATGCGCATTTTTGGCTTTCTTGGTGCAAACCAGTAATTTAAATATGCAGCCATGAATAATCAATGTGCATCTATGAACTTTACATTTGCTAAAGACCTTCTGTATCCTATATAATGCTGCCAAGGTGTTCCAGTGCTCTGGTCCTTGCCAGGGGTAGAGATTTGAGTGCACATTTTCAGCTATTTTTAGAAATCAGCACTATTTAGTCAATTGTGCACACAATTCTGTGCACAATACTGATATTTTGGGACCAATGTAACTGAACATTATGACTCCTCATTAATGCAGATTTGTTTTAGCTAGAGGATGTCTGGGAGAGAGGCCAGTGAAGCCACATTTTCATATTTTTAGGGGTGTGAAGCATTAATTTGACTGTAGATCTACCAAATCTGGGAATTTTCCCATGTTCAAGACCTCCACTGAGAGTTATGAATATTTCATGATTTATTATATTTTTAAATTAAGATTTAAATGGCCCAGAAATAATTGAAATATGCCAGCATTTGTCACAACCCATCTCCTGCTCCTGGCTCAATTATGTAACTTCCAAGGCTGTTATCTGGCTTCTGAGGCTCATGGTATTGAGCTGTGTACTTTCCAGATGCTTCTTAGACATCCAGGAATGAGCTCTGAGCTTCCAGAATGCTTCTGACATGTGCCATGTCTCTAGCTCACCTCATTGTGCTTCCAAGCCATTGTTCTATTGTCCTCCATTGTTCTTAATGTCTTGGCCGAGTTATCTATTATATAATCATAGTATGTTATTCTACATGGCATAAATACCCATGTACGGTAGTTGACTCCTCAGTCAGAATATCAAACTTGCCTCATTGCTTAGAGTGCAGAAGAATTAATAAAAGAATAAATGGGACAGCTAAAGATATGAGACAAAAATGAACTCGTAATTGCCATGCAAAGCAATGGCCCACAATACCAAGTTTTGTATGGCCCCATGTGCATTATTCATGGCTGTACACTTGAATCACTGAATTTCATTCAAAAACACGAAAATGTGCCCCAGAATCCCTCCCTGAAACCCCCATTTTGCACTATCATATCCATCCATATGCCTTTCTATGGCCTACGCCTATCGCCTCAGGTCCTACCCTCAGTTATATTCCATTTACAGCTGGTGTTATTCCTCTCTCCTTCTCCTCCCCCTCAAAAAGTGAAAATGTGCACTGAAAGTTCTCCTCTCCTGCACTTTATGGCACTCTAATACATATCCAACATTGTTTAGTAGCTAGTCAGGTACTCACATGTGTAATGATGCCCTGAAATATTGCAATCTGCAATTGCAGGACATGTATTCCTGTTTCTCTTGGTTCCCTCTTGATGTTTCCTCTGTCCTGGCCTCAATTCTGGCCTGATTCTCAAGAAAACATTTTCCCCATACTCAGGAAGAAAGGCCTTTCAAATATAGATACCCCCAAGAACACATTTCAGACCACTTAGATAACAGCAAAATCACACTGATTGGCCATTTCAGAAAGATCAGAGACATAATTATTTAATCGGACACTGCAGCCAGTGTCTACAGATGTCCCTTAAAATTCCTCAAAAGGTTTGAGGATAATAGAGTGAATGTGGAAAGCAGGACACTCAAAAATGCGCTGGGGAGAGACCATTGATCAACATTCTGGATGAAGCTAATAATGTGCCTTAACCATGTCTTTGGGTACCCTATCTCATAGATCCTCCATACCTATGGGGGACTATAGTATTTCAAAAGTATCATATATTCCCTGTCCAAGACACATTTTATCATGATTTTAGAAGCAGAAAGTGGACCTGAATTCAAGGGGGAGTGTCTGTGTTCCCAAAATTGGCTGGCACAAGAACAAATGTGTTCATAGAATATTCATTTCTTAGTGTAAATTGTTCAGACTTTTTCAGCACACTAAATCGCTTCATGGCAACACATTCCAGGTACTAACATGAGGATAGGTAAGGTACAGACCATGCCAGTGCGATGCCATTGTTCTTATCACTAAATCTGGAAATTTCTGAAATAGGGAAAGCAGACCTGTTCCAGAGGCATTGGTGCTCTCCTTGCTTGAATGGAAGGCTGAGAAGTGGGATGGGAGATTGAATAGACCACTGGAGGAGTCAGGTGTATAATTATTAGCCCAGACCAGTAGGATAATGGTCAGAATACTGCTCTGATAGATGTCAGGAGGAAGGACTGATCAATTTCATCTCCCATGGGGCAAATATGCAGATTACACTGGATAATAAGAGGTAATAGTACTAGATACAACCATTATATTGTTCCAGCAACAGGTGATTGAAATTGAATCATCCGGGGAGGGATTGAGGGGCACATTTTTGTGTTTTTGAATGAAAATCAGTAATTGAAGCGTACAGCCATGAATAATGCATGTGGGGCCATACAAAATACATCCCCAGGAAGCCCTACATATACCCTATCGGACTGCTAAGGTGTCCTAGTGGTCCGGTCCCTGCAATGGGTAGAGATTTGAGTACGCATTCTGGCTATTTTTAGCAAATTGCATTGTTTAGGCAATTATGGGAGCATTTCTGCAGGTATTGCAGATATTCTGTGGTAGATAGGACTCTATTATATGCCTATTCATAAACGCTCATTTGTTTCCATCAGGGGATGCATGGGAGGGGGCCCAGTGAGGCCACATTTTTGCATTTTTGAGGTGCAGAACATTAATTTGGCTGTGCAGCTGCCAAAAATGGTCACACTGTCACGTGTAAGGTATCTACGGAAAGATAAAATTATTTTACAATTTATGAAATTTTTTAATTCAAGAAAATCAGCCCAGAAATGACTGAAATACACCAGCAATGCTGCCAGCCAAACCCTTATGTGATGTGCTTTCCTAATGGGGAATACACATCAAAACGAGAAGGAGCACCATGATATGAGAAGGGTAATGGGGGATGAGAGGTGTGCAGGGCAATGAGAAGTGTGGATGAGAATGAAAAAATGTGCCCTGATATGAGAACTCTGCAAGAATGAAAAATGTGTTAAGAAATGAGAGGTGCATTGTGTGATATGATAACTCTTAAAATATGAGAAGAGAAGTAGCTATGAAAAGCACACCAAAGAATGAAAAGACTTGTAAGGCAGGAAAGAGAATGAGAAGTTATGAAAATGATGAGAGAGCAAACTCCTCATTAATTTCCCTGGTAATATACACAAGCAGTGCTGGTAATTCCCAGTAACTTATGATAAGTAGTGGTCAGTACTAGTGGGACTATATCTTTGCGTCTGCCATTCAGGGCTCTCAGGGCTCCTTACTCCCCCTTGTCCTCATTAGTTATGATATATGTTGCCAGTAGTTCATTAATTTGTTCAAGAGGATGAATGAGCATTGGCCTACAGATATGAAAATCCCCCCAACCACAAAGCTCATTCCAGCTATTCCAAAGCTCCATGAACTGATGCACCAGACTGCGAATCACCAAGTTTACTCTCTGAACTTCATATCTGGGGTCGGGAAGTCCGATCATCAGGAAAAACCTTTTTGTCTTAGGTTGTCTTGAGGACAATCTGAGACATCTAAGACACCAAGGACAGTAAGGCTCCTGAAGCCTACATTTCTAGATGTAACATCTTATAGCGTCCTCAGGATGTCCTCAAGATGCTCAGAGGACAGGCTAAGACTATGGTAGATGTTATTCAGGATGTTTCAATTTTTTCTTCTGTTCACACTTCATGTATTGAAAGAAGACTCAATTATATTTCTCTATCTAATGTACATTGAACAGATTACATTAATACTAGTACTGTATGCTATAATGCAATTCCCTTCTACTGAAATATGCACTCACCCATAGCATAGAAAGAAGATATCATAATCTAGATATATAGTCAGTAGGATGAAGACAAAAAAAAAATATAACGACTCACTCTGGTACCCATCACACTGCCATCTGACTCCCAAATTCTCACTTTCCCAATTCTTGCATTGCCATTCCTTCAATTCTCTTCTTGTCCTGCACCATGTTCTGGAATATGTTCATGAGGATCTAATCATTGAATGAAAAAGAAACAAGTACATACCTGTTCTTGAGACCATGAACTGGGAGCTACATGAGTATGCACTGGCAGGGGAGACGCACTGTGAAGGGGAAATATGGGTATTTAGTATCAAGAAGATCATTAAATATATGAAAGAAAACATACCTTTGAAAAGAGAAGATAGCACATCTGAAAGTGGGTGAGGTAAGGGAATGGGAAGAGTTGCACAAGTACAGCACTGGCAGGTTTGATGACACTTGCCGCACACTTTGTTTGGTGGAGCTATGACATCCAAACAGATGTGCCACGACCATCATGTGACTTTGTTGACTGCATGACAATGTGATGATTCTGTGCCATGCATGGCACAGATGTGACCATTCTCCCCAGCTGAATACTGCAAGAAATATATCAGCTATGCTTCTCAAAATTTGTACCAGTGATCTCATGATATGAATGAATGATATTCCAAAAATTTCAAATTTTTATATTATGTCTGCACAGTTTTGAAAAGGTGTACCTTTAATATCTCAGTAAATATTTGATCAAATAACATATAACTTTGCAGAAATTATCAACAGTATGTATTGTAAATGCCTGTAAATTTTTATGTCCATAGCTGTAGCGGTTCTTGAGATATTCAGCTTCCACCTCCTGTATGAGCGCTCAGCCTGTCTGAGTTTGAAATGACTTAGAGCTTGAAAATGATGCACTTCCTCACAGTGTAGGCTCAATATCTCAGCAACCGTTTAAGCTATAAAGCTTAAATTTTTTGTGCAAGTACCTCTGGTATCCTTGTTAATGGATCTCAGCTCGTGAAGCTTCTGCTTTATTATTTGTTGAGATATCCAAATGCTGGTTTTTGAAAAAGCGCAACCCTAATATCTCAGGTGATTTGATGCGAAAATGTTTGAAAATTTGCAGTCACCTTCGCATATAATGTATCTAGCACTGCGTAAATTTTCATGAAGATTGGTTGAGCAGTTGCAGAGGAATTCCATCTTGACCCTTGGAAAAGTGCCTAGCAGTGGCTGTGCTGAGTGCAGTGTGCCATAGCTCACCTGCAGTTGGAGGTTCAATATCTCAACAACCGCTTAAGCTATCAAGCTGGAAATTTTCAGGCAAGTACTTCTAGCATCCTTGTTAATGAATCCTGGCTTATAAAGCTCTCGCTTTATTATGCGTTGAGATATTCAAATGCAGATTTTTGAAAAGGTGCACCCCTAGTATCTCAGTTAATTCATTGTGAAAATGTCTAAAATTTTGCAATTGCCTGCGCCTATACTTTTTCTAGCAGTGTGTAAATTTTCATGGAGATTGGTTAAGCGGTTGAAGAGGAATTCCATATTGACCCTTGGAAAAGCGCCCAGCAGTATTCACCTGCAGTTGGAGGCTCAATATCTCAACAACCACTGAAGCTATCAAACTGAAATTTTGTATGCAGGTACCTTTGGTATTCTGGTTAATTTATCCCGGCTTATGAGTTCTCTGCACTATTATTGGTTGAGATATTTCAATGTGGGTTTTTGAAAAAGCGCAACACTAATATCTCAGGTATTTCATCGCGAAAATGTCTGAAAATTTGCGATCACCTTTGCTTATAATGTACCTAACAGTGTGTAAAATTTTATGAAGATTGGTTGAGCGGCTGCTGAGGAATTCCATCTTGACCCTTGGAAAAGTGCCTACCAGTGGCTGTGCTGAGGGTGCGGTGTGCATACTTTATCCGAAGTTGGAGACTCAATATCTCAACAACTGCTTGAGCTATCAAGCTGAAATTTGGCATGCAAGTACCTTTGATATACTTGTTAATGGATTCCAGCTTATGAGCTTTCCGCACTATTATTGGTTGAGATATCTCAATGTGAGTTTTTGAGAAAGTGCAACACTAATATCTTGGTCATTTCTTCAGGAAACTGTCTAAAATTTTACAAGTACATGCGCATATATAGTATCTAAAAGTGTGCAAATTTTGTGGTGATTGATTGAGCGGTTGTGGAGGAATTTTATCTTGACCCTTGACAAAGCACTCAGCAGTGGCTGTGCTGAGCATGCAGTATTGATAAATCACCCAAAGTCAGTGCTATGTGTAGTAGCACATCTTTATCAGGTCCAATTCCCTATATATTATATACTGTCAGAACCGTGTTTTTATGCCCATTCTGGTTATGGCATTTATTTTTCTTATAAATGCATTCTTTCTATGTAATTCACAATATTCCTGTAAAGAGTTTGCAGTTTCTGGGTTTCTGCATGCAATATCTCCATAATTGCTAGATTCATTGCATTTATACTCTGGGACCCAGTAGTATACATACATGTGATAATGTGTCCAAAGTTTCAGCCAGTTTGGTCATCATTTGCATACAGATTGTGATGTTCTTGACTATTCTCAACAAGAAAAATGTGCACATCTATATCTCTGGTGATATTAGATGTATCTTTATAAAAATTTGAGACTACATGCACTATCTATGTATCTACATGTAAGCAAAAAATTAGAACAAGAGAGTCTGTTTTGCCCCAGCTATAAGCAAATCTTGCTGTGCTACTCCCCCTCTACAGAGGCACAAATAATATACCTGGTGTCTTTTTATTCAATGAAGCACTTGAAGAATGAATATAAGAGTATTCTGAAATACCTTTCTATTGGTTTTGGAGGATGTTTGCTACTGAAACTCAAGTACCGTCCATCTAAATAAATGTCAGGCATACATTTATTTTCCCATGTGTCCTGGCTAGAAGATCATGAGAAAATGAATTATATGAGCCCAGACAGTGTAAATTTCATTTTATCTACCGATTAGGAGGACCCAGAATGTCTTCAGGAGGAGGTCAAGACAGTGAAGACACCTAAGGACAACCACAGGACAGCACAAGTGCCCTGAGGTGCACCTGACTTGGCTGCTGATCTTAAGGACAACCTAAGACAAAAAGGTTTTTTCTGATGATTGCAAAGTCCCAGAACACCTTTGGGGCCCTCATAATGCTCTCAGCAATTCAACAAAGACTCAATGACCTGGATCACATTAGGACACCATTGATGATCACATTGCATTTTGGAATTGGCTAAAATTCATCAGGCTTGGAACTACACTGGTGAGGTGGTTCAAGATGGCTGTGGCAGAGCGGAATATTCAGGTAGAAGGTCATCAAGGTTTGACAGCTCTAATAGATGCTGAGATAGTGCAGAAGCGGGAGGAGATGTGTGTTGAGTGGGATAATGAGGATTTCCTGAAATTGAAGCCAAACCTTATCATACTGAGGGTATCTGTGAGTCAAGTCCCCTGTGCTGTTGATGATGTGTTTCCTGATCCTCAGTGCCAGTGCAGAGTGAAGCCCAGGCCAAGAAGGAGCTGGCAACAGAAGAAGAGGCATATTTGAAGGCTGGTGGTGTCTTGCTACATGAGACAACACCCTTGGGCTTTCTGTTGATGGGTCTAGACCTTGAGGAAACCCAGTAAGTTTTGTCTTCCATTCATGAAACAGAAATTTCAATACTCAAATCAAGCTTTGACTAGGCATTGAATCCATCGATTGGTAAAGAGTACTGCAAATGCAACTGTTCAGTGGCAAGGCAGCCTCACGGAACAGAGGAACACCCTCCACCAATGTTTGTGCTCATGGGAACAACTACAACCCATTTATATGCCAGGCCTCCTTCAGTATTGTACCAAACTCAATTCACGGAATTGCAACACACAACCACCAACCCATGTGAATGCTGAGGACATTGAGCTCTGGATGCCTTCAAGTGTCCCTACCAGCGAGAGGCCACAAGTTTGCTGTGGTGGGCTTCCTGAGGCTGAGGAGAGACTGCGCACTGTGCAGTGTTACGATGCTTTGAACAGCATTCAGCATATCCTCAAGATCAAGACTCAACTTGTCCATTTCAAGAATCACAACATACACAGACAAAGAGAGGGTACAAGGTCAAGGTCTGTCATTGATCATGTACATGAGAGGGCAAGGGCAGCGGCTGACAAGTACTGTGTTGCTTGATGGGCAAAAATGTTGCTTTCAGGACCTGGGACTTGGGAGTCCATACTCCATGTCTTGGAAGATGGTGATATACAATTCTATCAGGATCCAGACTGCCTCCACCCTAAATGTGGGCATAGAAGGGTCCTCAAGGATGACCAGCTTTCTGTGGTCAATGAGCAGGGTGCTGATGAGGACCTGGCTGTGGAAGGCCCATCTGACATGTCCTTATTGAACAAAGTTCACAGTCATCGTGTGTCACATCCCATTCCTGAACCCATTGTTCCATTGTCCCATTGTTCATTGTTCTGGTTCATCAATGGGCTTTCCCTTCATTGTTCTATTCATTATTGTCCTTATTGTTCTCTGTCATTGTTCTGCTGGCATTCATTACATAACCTAGATCTTCTCCATTGTTCTCAATAGTATAAGTAGCTAGGTAGTGTACTGGATTCCCCAGCTTGAATCTCAACCTTGACAACCCCTCTGCTCTATTGTTCATCCTCTGTCTTCTGGGCCTTGGCCAGGATGACTTCTTCTTGTCTCTCCTTTGTCAAGACCAAGGCAGTTCCTGTAAATTGGGGACAACCAGATGATGTGTAGGGGCACAGCACAAGAGCATGCTGAGGCCAAGTCCCCCCCTCTGTTCAGGTCATTACATCATGATGGAACAGGTGAGACTCATTGCACAATCTCCTGGATTTGGCTCTTGGGAGTTTGCACACTGGGAGAAGATGATGCTACTGATGAAACCTTGTGAGTAGAGTGGGCGAAAAGTTGGGCGTGTGCTGTGTATTTGACAGAGGAGGTTATGCTTCTTAAGGAGGAGATGCAGCGGGTCTTGGACTACCACCAGTGGAAAGAGGATTGGTGGAGGAAATTGGCAACCCATCAGCTAGACATTTCAAAGGAACTTGCTGAGGGCTTACTTGCCACTTCTAGAAGCCACAAAAAATATATCAGACACTGTATTTAAACAAAGTATGCTCATAAGTCAGGACTGTCAGTTTACAGTCAGTCTAACAAGGCAAATGAGATGATTAATAATTATTTATTTTTGGAAAAAAAGTATCTGGGTTCATGGAGCACCTTTGGGCAACCCTGAATCAAGTTGTTTGATGCCATCAGCTGTTCTGGTTGGCAAGAAAAATGCAAATTACTAAGAAAATGTGTCATATTTTGCAATTTTTAGGATTGTTTGGCTTATATCTTGTTGATGGAGCCAAATAAGTTGTGCTGATGGTGGCAGGATCACCTAGGCCTAGGGTTTCTATTCCCACTATTTCTTCCCAAAAAGGAAAATTCTCATGATCATATAACCTGTCATTTTCACTTTTTTGGCACTCCTAGTGCCTGTCTAGATAGAGCAAAAGAGGACTTGAGCAAATTTTTGCGAAGTCCAATCTGTTACATGTGACTTTAATGTTGATGGCATCAGCAAACTTGATGGCTTTATTGCTCTTCATCAATGCCAAGTCTGGGCCTAGCAATCATCTATTTATTAATTGTTTTCATTTGAGGCCATAATATCAAAGTTTCAGAGGCTGACCCTGAAGGAAAAGGCAAATAAAAAGTCACATGACCTGGCATCAATCTTGGCATCAGTCACATTTCTCTCCTATGACAATGACATTCTAGAAGCATACTTGTAAAAATACAGCATCTGATACATTTTCATAGCTGGTAGAAGACTGTAAACTGACAGTCCTGACTTATGAGCATACTTTGTCTAAATACAGTGTCTGATATAGTTTTCTAGCTGACATGGCTGCCTTCAAGACCCCCCTGTTCCAACCTCAGAGGTTGTGCTGGCTCCAACAACAGACAATGCAACAGATAATCCTTCAGCTCCAACAACAAAACTTGCACCTCCTTCAACTGCAGCTACTGTGCTTAGACCCCTCAGCAAGCGCCCAAAATTACCAATAGCTTATTCCACAAACACTGTCAATGATGACAATGACCTTGATGACAAGGAAGAGGACTCTGATTACGATGAGGAGGAGTCTGAAGGCAACTTTGAGGATGTTGAGGAGCAGGTCGACTGAATGACAAGGTGTGTCTCTGTTCTTTCTAAACATACTCCCTAAGTAAATTGATTCAACAGGAAAAGCAGCCACTTGTGTTTTTCTGTCTTGCTTGCTCTTCGATGTACTTATGGAATTTATCTTTGTCCTCTTTACAAATTAAGTTGTTATCTTGATGTTGATATCTAATTGGTATGGGTTGTGGCCAACAAGTCATTTTGGCTATTTTGGAGCCATATACAGCCACCCCTCACATGACATGTTGCCTGTCCAACCATCATCCAAATGCCCCATCATGCATCCACCCATTCCCGCTACACAAACTATCTACAATGGTCTATAAGAGCTAGATAAATGCAAATAGATTCTGTTTCCAGAAGATTACAAAATAAATTGCCCCCAACAGCCAGCAATAGCATGCATGGTGCTGAGGAAACTGTCCAGTGAAATTTTCCAAAAATAGAAGTGCCACTGCTTGTCAACAACAACGACAATGATGGACAGACACTATGTGATGAGCACAGCATTATCCAGGCCTATCCACCTGCTTCTGCTCTCCTAGGAAATGTTTCAAGCAGTGGATGATGGCCAGTTCTGAATAAGCACCACTTTTGATGACCAACCTGTCCCCTACCACCCCCTGCCCTCTGGTACCATCCCTGCTGCCTCATCAGATCATGTTTGGTCATTGCTTACCTGTTCTGCCCCCTCCTGAAGCACCCTCATAACCCTGGAGTGCTCTGGGCCAGCCAAGAAAGGAGATCTGGGCATAACTGGCAACTGCTATTGGCGGCACATACCATTAGAGATGTATGACCTGTCAATGGCAACTACCAGTAATTGAAATATATCACTAGCTTACATGGCTGGGCCAAGGTGAACTCCATCATGAGCGGTGTTCATCTGGGTGAACCCAAATAATGCACTGTGGTTCTCCCAGTTGTTTGGCGATACCTCCTTATTCCAATGCCCTATAATAGCAAAGTAGGCATCCTGGTTGCCAGCTTGCCAAGCATCACACATTAGGGAGATAAGGCCAGTTTGCCTTCTCTGCAAGAAAGAAATAAGAATAGGAAACACAGACAAGTAAACACAACACCATTCTTACATTGATTCAGTCCCACAAATTTGTCAGATTTTTTTTGAATAGCTGGATGATGTATGCACAGGTGGCTTTCTGATCAGGAATGAGAACACCTTGCATCAACCAAGCAGCCATGGCAATCATCTCCTTGAAAGATGGATGCTCAAGGGCCTGAATTGGCTGCATGTTCAAGTTAGGACAGAAGCAGACAGAGTCAAATGTAAGACACATCTGATTGGTCTCAATTAACCATTGAATAGCTGCCTCATGGAAAAGTGCATCAGAATATGGCACCACCTTCTTGTGTGGTGGTTCCATGCTGAGGTGTGGGTCAAAAGATTGCTGTTTTTGATGGTCAGTGGTGAGGGTGGCATGCTTCCATTCTCAAACAGCTTTTGGCAGTTTTGTCTCGAAATTATTGTTTGTGCACCACTTGTTATATGTGTCCTATAACACAGAAAATGTCAATAGTAGTGAAATGGACTTTACATAGGCACAGACCTTGTGGAGTGACTCAATGTGGTGTAAGAATCCTAGCACAAAGTCTCAGTTGTTTGGGAAGCAAACGGCTGAGAGATAAATTAAATACCTAGCATGAAGTCTAGGTAATGACATAAGTACACGAGAAAGTACAAGGACAGGAAGGTAACTCACCTCAGTTGTTTGGGAAGCAAACAGCTGAGGGGAGACAACAAGAGTCCATAGCTTATATACATAGTAAGTACACTGTCCATAGAGTACTCAATGGAAAGTAAAACAGGAGAGAAATGGGATTGAATATCCCAGGGATAAAATGAAGGAAAAATGTGCAATAAAGAATAGTGCAGGTACACGAATAAATGTGAGGCTATGTAACACAGAGAGTGAACAAAAGAAAGAGATATTGTATGTACTTGTGGCAGGACTGTGGTGCTAGAGGCACGGGCACCAAAATGGAGTGGGATCAGCTTGGGTTTGCTGTCCATATTCCAACACTCCCCCTCAAACCGAGACGAGTCCAAGTTCAGTTGCGAAATGCTTGACCTTTGGCAAGGGAAGCGCCTTGGTGAGTGTGTCGGCCACCATTTCATCGGTAGGGCAATAGACAAGGCGGATGGATCCGTTTTCGACGATCCAACGGATGAAGTGGAATCGGATGTTGATATGCTTTGTTCTAGCGTGATATTGATGGTCTTTTGCAAGTGCTATTGCTGATTGGTTGTCCGAAAATAGTGTGGTGGAGCCAAGCGATGTGTCAAAGAGTTGGGAGATGAGGGAATGAAGCCATAGGGCTTCCTTCAAGGCGTATGTCGCAGCAATGTACTCGCTCTTGGTTGTCGAGAGCGAAATGATCTCCTGTCATTTAGCAGACCACGAAATGGCGCCTCCGTGAAGTAAGAATGTGTACCCAGAGATGGCATGGCAATCCTCGGCCATGTTCCCATCCGCATCCGCATATCCAACGAGATCCTTCTGCTGTCCTCCATATGACAGCCACAACTCCTTTGTTCCCTTTAGGTAGTGAAAGATTCGCTTGACAGTGTCCCAATGTGTGATTCCAGGCTTTGTGGAGAAGCATGAGACGGTTTGGACGGTGTAGGTGATGTCAGGGCAGGTTCCGAGTGATGCGTACATCAAAGAACCCATGGTGATGTGGTAGGGCATGTCACGCATCTGCGCAAACTTGTCCATGGTCGATGGAGACTGGGCAGAAGTGGGGCATACGTTGGGATCCATGGGAATGGACACAGGCTTGAGGTCTTGAAGCCCATAGCAGCGCAGGATGGAGTCGAGGTACGAGTGTTGCAAGAGAAAGATGGCATGACGTTCGCAAACACAAAGAATTTCGATGCTGAGAATCCAGTGGAGTTTGCTGAGATTGATGATGTCAACGTGCTTGGCAGTCTCGATCTTGAAGGCATCGATCAGTGGCTGTGACGTTGCCACAATCATACAATTGTCAACATGAACCAACACGATGATCAATGACTGTGCTCGTCATCGAAAGAACACTGCCTGGTCCACGTCACATCGCTCAAAACCCAACAGACACACCATAATCTCCACAAGACGTTGGTACCAGCGTCGGCCCAACTGCTTCAAGCCATACAAGGTCTTCTGCAGGCGACATACTTGGGTCCTCGAGGTTCTGGGTACTGCATACCCAGGTGGCTGCCGCATGTAGATGACCTTGCCAGAGGTGAGTACTCCATTCAGGTATGCTCCCTTTATGTCGATCTGATGAATTTCAAAATCATTCATGGCCGCAATCGTGAGAACAGCGCAAATTGAAGCCAAATGAGCCACAGGTGCAAACGTGTTGAAGTAGTCAACTCCCAGGACTTGAGAGAATCGCTGCGCGACAAGTCGAGCCTTGTAGCGAATGACGTTCCCTGCCGCATCCTTCTTCACTCGAAAAACCCACTTGGAGCCCACGATGTTGACTCTGTCAGGTGTGTCGACGAGTTCCCATGTCCCAGCTTCCTTGAGAACTGACAACTCCTCTAGGATTGCCTTCTCCCAGAGTGGCCAATCAGGACAGCTCATTTGCCTCTCAAAGATCTCGTGGCTCCAATGCCTCCATCTCACTGATTTCTGCTGCCAATGCGTATTCATCCATGAAATCCACCACCATCATCCAATCTGACGTTCCCTCCCCCTCAAGCACACGCTCCTCTGGCATTTCAGTTGGTGCCTGCACACCTGGAGAGAGTTTTGGGCTTCTGGGGAGGTTCAATGACATGGCACAGCCCTCGATGATATCAAGAACACATTGCGAAGGCTTTCGGACATGCTTTTCGCAAGGTTTTGGGATGGAAGGGGTTTCCTCAGGCTCAGAAGCTGATTCCTCGGGTTCTGGAGCATGTGGTGCTGTTGCAGGAAGTGGGGCAGTTGCATCAGCAGCCATGTAGGCTAGAAATATACATGAAAGTAGGCTACTGGCAATTCTCGTTCATAAATCATAGCTGCCTACTGGCAGCCAGGCCTTTTTCTATGTGCTGCTGGGTTTGCTGGGGCTCGGGACTGTCTGCCGAGGCTGTGGGGACACTAAACAATGGCCAAACAATGCTTGAGGACATTGAATAGGGTCCTCGTCATCATGGGGGGCAGGACGGGGCACGGGAAAGCTTCCAAATCAGGTACAACACAGGAGAATGCCTCTCCGAGATGCCCGGCAATGTAACTGGCCTCTAGCTCACTGTTGGGGACAGCAGGCAGGCCCATCTTTTGGGAATATAATGTCGGGATGTATTCTTACCCATTTCAGGTGTTTGCCCACCTCAGGGGAGGGCGGGATGGGTGGATGGGTGGGTGGTGGTTTGGATGTCATTCTAATTTTAGAACAACAACATCTGGCAAGCTCGGACACACTCGAAAAAATGACAAAAAATCATATTAAATTGAAATAAAACTACTACATGACATAGGTGACTAGTAGAGCCACCCGCTGCGAGGTATAGACAAAACGAGCAGAAACAATGTGTTCATGGCGCTTTGTTTCTGCTCGGGGACCTGGCTTGCCCACCCTCGCGTCATGGTGGGTTGCACTCGCCTTTGCTGTATACTGGCCATGCTCACCCTCACCCCGTGCTGGTCTTGCTTGGGGTCATGCGGTGGCGATCCTGCTCGGGCTCGTGCCATTGCCGTTGTCATGTCCCCATTGTGGTGTTGTCGTCGTCCCTGTTTGGTTGTGATGTCATCATGGTGTCATTGTTGTTATTGTCCTTGATACACTGTCCTCCTTGTGCTGTCATTGTTGTTGTTGTGCTGTCCTTGTTGTCGTTGTCCTTGATGTCCTGTCCTCATCGTCATGCTGTCCTCGTTGCTCTCCACCCTCATGCCATCCCCAATGTCGTGACACCTGTGCCATCCTTGTCCTCACACCATTGTCATCCTTGTGCTGTGGTGGCCCTGCCTGCACCCTCGCATAGTCGTATTTACCTACGCCGCCATCGTCACTCCCAGCTACAGGGTTCGCTTTGCCACTGTTGTTCTTCGGGTTCGCTGCGTAGCTGCCAGGATCGTCACGCTGTCATCGTGGAGCGCATCCTGCTGGCAGGTTCGTCACACTGACGCCTTGCTCCCCCAAGCGCTGCCTTCACCTTCCTGGTGTTAAGCCCATCCCCAAGCTGCCGTGGTCGTCCCATTGTCCTGTCGAGGCTGTCCGCCACTTGTGTAGTCACCGTTCAGCAGCTGTGTGATATTTGGATGGGGGCTAGCCAGAAGTGAAGGAGTGGGTGAGGTGGTCAGACTAGGTGCCTGGGAAAGTGCGGGTGAGACGGGTTGGGTGAGGCAAGGGCAAGGGCAAAACCCCCCTATTCTCGTTGTTGTCGCAGTCGTTGTCGTGTCGCTCATCATGTCCACGCAGTGGTGGGGTGAGCACACTGGATGGTTGGGATGACCTGTGCTGGCCATCACGGGCGCTGTCTTGCTCGTGTCGCCGCTGTCATCCTGCTTGTCCTGTCATCGTTGCCCTGCTTGTCTCGTGGTCACCCTGCTTGTCTCACATGGTTGATCATTGTTGTTGTCGCCATCCATATCTGCCTTAGCCTGCTCGCCCTCGTCCCAAAACCCTCCCTCCAGCCAAGTTACATGGAATACACGAAACACCGTTGCTTCGAGGATGGAGGGCAGGAGACGAGGGAGGGCATAGGTAGATGGGGTTTGCAGGAATTGCAACCCATGGCTGTGCTAGGCAAGGGCTAGAAGAAGCGGTGTGGTAGGCGGGTGAGCAAGCATGGCTGGGGAGGGGGGGAGTGGGGGTAGGTGAGCAAGTATGTGTGAGCAAGCAGGGGAGGACGAGTGAGTGAGTGGGGAGTCTGTCACGCTCTCCAAGAGTGGTTCAAGGCGGATGATCTCCGCTGCATCACCTTTGTCTACGTTCCATCTGCATTGCGGTGGGACATCCATGGTGAGGCACATAAGTACATCACTGAACTCAAAGTCAGGGTTGGATGTTGCAAGACGGACAACTCTATAGACACGCTTCGCTCCCAAGCCACGCACTCAGCCCTGGATTCGTGGAACTCCACTTTCCAGGACCCAACCTACCGGGGCTCTGAATTCTTAGAGCTTCAATGGCCTGACAGGCGGCTGATCCAGCCATTGTACCTCGACGGGGGACCTTGGCTTTCAACCTTTGGACACAGTATCACTGAGTTCGCTCGTGTCTGCCAGTGTATAACTGGCCACGTGCCCATTGGAGCGTACTATTGTCGCTTCAAGATCAATGAGCCTCATGGCTGCACTTGCAGGGCTGCTTTGCAGTCCCATCAGCATATCCTCTTTCACTGTCGTGATAGATACTCTGTACACTATCCCCGTTTTCTCGGGGATATTGCATCATTTATGAAGTACAACCCTACAGCATTTGGCTTCAACCAGGACCCTTCAGGTGTCGGATAATCGCTGCAGGCAGGGTTATTCCTCCCTTTGGGGGATTTAGGGTGAATCAACACCACGGACCTTAGGGTTTGGCAACCTGCACCCATGACTACTTCTTCGTGCTTGCGGCCTGCTGTTGTAGCGGGTTGCGGCACCGCTAACTTTCTGTGTCTGGTTTCGGGCAGGCGCATCTTTGGCTTGTCGGCCTCAAGACACTCTGCCACCTCCCCGGTGGTGCTGTTTTATCTCATTTGCGCTGCGTGGCCTCCGAACAGCAATTGACGACTTTGGGGCGTAGCGAAACCTCGATGGTTTCCTCCCCTTATCCCGATGCACCGTTTTTGCAAGGTGGGTTGCCCTCTGGGGAGTTTCGGCATTTGAGCCCAAAGGGTCTTGGTTGGGGGGGTGGTCGTCCTTTAGTGGTTAACTTAGTAACCAGGCTGCGTAGCGTACGTGTTTGTAGATAGCGAGCAGGCTGCCATCGAGCACCCCTATATAAATTGTTGATCAAAAAAAAAAAAAAGTGAGCGAGTGGGGGAGGACAAGTGGGAAGGTGGGGATGCAGGAGAGGGTGCCTATGTGCGAGAGGTGCAAAAGCGGAAGGGTCTGGCATGGATTAGTGGGCAGAGAGGGGGGTGGGTCAAGAATGCACCAGCCTACATCCCTACTGAGAGAGGAGAGGCATGTGGCAGCTTCATGATGTTGTCAATGATGCGGGCAGGCGGCTGTGAGGAGAGGAGTGATTTAGTGACAAAATAAGAACACAAAAAAATATCAACTCACCTTTTGCTTTGTGTTCCGGGGTTGGCTGGCAAGGGAAAGGTACCTGGTGGTGGTCGCAGTCGCAGACAATGATCAACAACGGATTGACATTGTTGATCATTATCTGGCAAACACTGTGCCTCATCCAATTGGTTGGATGAGTCGGTCCGGCACCTGCTGTACCAAGATCACCACACCTGAGTCACCTTATCCTGCTCACTCTACCTCCCTTACGGCCCAAAGTGAATCTTAATAGTGCTCACGATGTATGTATAATAAAAATGAATTATTTCATAGACTGGCCAGTGTAATAGGTGGTGTGAAAACCCACCCCTCGAAAGTGGACATTAGATCAGTCTGTGTTTCACTACAAGCCTCTTCTGCTTGCAAGGGCTATGAGCTTGCATTTGGATAGTTCAGGAAAAATATATACAGTTCATTAGTTCACTTCTTATGGTTTTTATCTTTTGATCTGGGGTTTCTCATACATAGGATATAGTCCTGGGGTGTGGCTTAAGGTGAATGTATAGCTCACATTGCTACTCTACATTTACCTTCTGTAAAATTACCCTCGGATGCAGATAAATAGATGTAATTGTATAATGTGATGACATACTGACACTAAAATAATAAGGCTTCACAATCTGTGCGACACAGTAGCGATTCCGTCATGGATGAGCGGAACCACAGAGAAATGGGCCACGTGTTCCAGCCAATCAGCTCACAGACGGGATCTGCCAGATAAGCCATCAATGATGACGAGAGTCGTTGATGCTTGTCCTCGACCGCCACCTGTCGACCTCCCTCACTGTCCAATGCCTCAAATGACGACCCAGGGCTGTTTAAAAATGTAAGTAACATGTTCTATTCATGTGTGTACACTCTAATACAGGTATTCATTCAAAACTAGGCACACAAACATCGACTTTGAGGTAACATTTGTTTTCTCTCCATCTTGTGCCCCTCCCCTTCAACAGGGATGTGGGCCAGGCATGAGTGCACCATGAAGCACCCCACACCAGCCCCTGTCTGCCCCACCATCCTCCGCCCATCGCCCTTGCCTTGCCTCACCAATCACACTCCCCTCCCCTCCAACAGGGATGTGGGCATCTCCCTTTGTGCGACCACCGGCCATCCGACGCTCGCCTCTGCACCCTGCCATCCTCTTCCTGCTCCTCTCTTCACCCTCCTCCCATCCTCGGAGTAATGGCATCTCAAAGATGTTGTGTAATGTTCGGATGGGGGTGGTGATTTGCCTTTCGAGCCACCTCTCAGCCTCCCTTGCCTGCACCCCTTCTGGACCCATGGGTTTCGCAGCGATACGAGCACAGCGATGGAGATGGGAAGATGAGAAGAACAACGACATGAGTTCAATGGCAGGCACGGGTCGAACAGGCCAGGATGCAAGATGAACACAATACGGTGGCGGCACAAACACGAGCACCAGGGCTGGACCAAGGCAAGCATCAGGGTGCGATGAAAACAAGCATGGGCAGGTGTATGATGACAAGCACAAGTGGGTGTATGATGACAAGCACAAGTGGGTGTATGATGACGAGCATGTATATGACAATGAGCAGGACCAACTTGTCAACTCTTGTCGACTCTCCCTGCTGCCTGCTCTCATCCCATCACTCCCCTCTCCTTACCCCCCCATCCTCAGAGCCACGGTGTCTTATAGATGCTGTGTAGTGTTGGGACGGGGTGGCATTTCTCCCCACATGCCTCGCACCCTTCCTTTGCCCTCTCCCTCTGCCCGACCAACATTTCGCACCAAACACGGCAGGAAAGACACATGCAAGATGGTTCACAAGAACAACCATGACCACAACGAGGGCGACAAGGACAGTCGGCGTGGGGTGAGTCCACCGGGAAGGTGAGATGAACATGGCCCTGGCAGCAGCAGGGTGACAAACATGATATGCACACGACGGCGGGGTTGGGATGAACACACTGGCAGGCAAGATGAATATGACCAGTGACGTGACTAGGGCAGGATGAACACAACCACGAGCAGGCATATGGGCGCTACACAGCAGCACAAGCATGACGGCTGTGGCACAGTCACAACGGTGGTAGCAAAGTCACAACGGTGGTAGCAAAGTCACAACGGCAGTAGCAAAGTCACAATGGCAGCAAAATGAGCACAGCAGTGGCCACGGCAACACAGACATGACAGAACAGGCACAAACACAATGAGGATGCGGACACAGCAGCATGGCAGTGGCAACATGCATGGGGTGGGGACACAAGCAAGAGACGAGCTGCTGACCAGCTCGAGGGAGGAGGCGGCAGCGGCAGTCACACGGAGGTACAAGCCAACAACGGTTGTCGAGAACAATGAGGAGGTATACAGAGCAAAGTGGCGCGTTCACAGCACGTTGTTTTGGCTGGTTCTGTTTCTTTTTTGTCGCGGATGGTTTTACCAGCCCCCAGGATTATGTGCTTATTTTTATATAATTTAATATCATTTTTTCTTATTTTATGGTTGTGCCCTTGAGGCTGCCCGAGCTCGCCATCTGTCGTGGTGGATGACGGCAAGCATTATGTAGTCATTGCAAGTTAATCTGCACAATGGTCGAGACCTGACGGTCGAGGACTGAGGGGATCACGATGGAATGGACGAGCCTGAGGATGATGTGTACTAAAAATAGAATGTCATCCATCCACCATAGGTAATAATATACCCCAACATTATATTCCCAAAAAAATGGGGCCGCCCGCTGTCCCCAACAGTGAGCTAGAGCCCACTCACACCGCCGGGCATCTCAGAGAGGCCTTCTCCTGCATCATACCCAATAAGGAAGCTTTCCTGTGCCCTGTCCTGCCCCCAACAATGACGAGCACCCCATTCAATGTCCCTGAGCATTGTTTGGTCATTGTTTAGTGCCCCCACAGCCTCCGCAGACAGTTCCGAACCCCGGCAAATCCAGCAGGACATATAAAAAGGCCTGGCTGCCTACTGGCAGCTATGATTTATGAACAAGAATTGCCAGTAGGCTATTATTGATACATATCTCTGGCTGTTACAAGTGGCATCAGGAGTCGTAGAAGTTGATGGAGGGGGTGCGGTTGAATTTCCGGGTGAGTCTTGTTTTGTTTCATTAAAACCATCCCATTCCTCCCCCTCAAGACGAGAACCAGACTTGCATGTCTCGTCGTAGTAGACGTTCTGCTCAATGCTGACCCTTCGTGTGTCAGGCCAGTACACCTGCATGCCCTTCGACTGTTCATCAACACCCATCCACCGCCCTTCGCGAACTCGACCTCCCAGCTTGATTTTGCCCTCGATCCTCACCCACACCTTTTTGCCCCACTCTCACACATCAGCCATGTCTGCTAGAAATCTATATCAGATACTGTATTTTAACAAGGTATGCTTATATGTCAGGACTGTGATTTTACAGTCCACCTATGGAGAGGGCCTTGCCATGTGTGCTGGGGCTCGCAGCTGTGGGCGGGGCATGTCAACACATGCAAATAACACAGGAAACAGTGCTTGGACACTGTTCCTCATCATTTGGGGTGCTCCCACCCCCGTTTCCCCCATTGTCAGAGGGCGGGAATGGGTGGATTGGGCCAGGTGTGTTTGGATGACGTGGCCTTTTTTCAGGCCCTTGTACTATTTTTAGATTATGGTGTAATTACAATGACACATCTCTTGTACAGCTCTTGCCGTTGTCTGTCACGACGTCCGGCGAGCTCGGGGTACACCAAAAAAATAGCAAAAAATCATATTAAACTGAAATAAAAATAAATGCATGGTGCAGGTGGCTCTACCAGCCACCCACTATGTGATAAGGAGAAAATGAGCAGAAATGACACGTTGTGACACGTTGTTTCTGCTCTGGTCTTGGTCCATGCCCTTTTGCAGCGAAAAAATGCAAAAAAAATCATATTAAATTGTACAAAAAAAAGTACAGGATGCAGGTGGCTCTACTAGCCACCCACTATGGAATATAGGTAAAACGAGCAGAAACGGCAGGCTATGAAGCACCGTTTCTGCTCAGGGAGGCGGGTACAGGTCCCTTCTGCCCTCTCTGCCCCCTCCTGTGCTCGTTGGGGCTCCCTCAACCCCTCGTGTACTCATGGGGCCACTTCCACCCCCTCCGCGCTCTCCACCCACACTCTCTGCCCCCTCTGCCCCTTCGGGTACTCGTTGGGCCTCTTTGGGTGCTCGTGGGGGTTCTTCGGATGCTCGTGCTCCCCCTTCTGCTTGGGCTGCTAGTGGTGGGTGCTGAGCAGGAGGCGAACGGTGGGGGTGAAGGGTGAACGGCGAACGGCAAATGGCAACGGCAAAGGGCAACGGCAAAGGGCAATGGCAAAGGGCAAGGGCAAGAGGGCAAGAGGGCAAGAGGGCAAGGGCAAGAGGGCAAGAGGGTGAGAGGGCGAGGGCGAAGGCAAGGTGGGTGAGAGGGTGAAGGCAAGGTGGGCAAGAGGGCAAAGGCAAGGTGGGCGAGGGGTGAAAGGGTGAGGGGCGAGATGGTGATGACGAGGGCGAGACAGTGGGCAGACAGCGAGAGGGCGAGGCAGAGGACGGGGCCGAGGCAGAGGGCGGACAAGGGGCAAGGCAGAGGGCAGATGAGGGGCAAGAGGGCAAGGGCAAGTGAGGCAGAGGATGGGGGCAAGGCAGAGGGTGAAGGCAGAGGGCAAGGGCAAGGGCAAGAAGGCAAGGGAAGAGGGCGAGATGGCAGGCGAGGGGTGGAGCAAGAAGGCAAGGCACAGGGCGACAGGGCAAGGGAGAGGATGGGGGGAGTGAATGAGGGGTGAGGGCGGGGGTGAAAGGTGCCCCTGCCGTCGTCGTTGTTCCCCTGTCGCCCCCCGTTGTCATGGTGCATCCGCTGCCTCCGTCATCATGGTCGTGCCCCACCACCATCATGGTCGTTCCCCTGTTGCCGCCGTCGTCATCCTGCCTTCACCGTGGTCGTTGCCCTGCCTTCGCCGTCATCGTCACCCTGCCCTCACCGGCGTTGTTGTCCTGCCATTGCCACTGTCATCGCCCTGCCCTCACCGTCATTGTTGTCCTGCCCATTGTTGTCATTGTGGTGCCCACTGTCGTCGTTGTCCCACCGTTGCCATCCTCTGCCTGGTCGAGAGGGCGACGGTGGGCAAGCGGGTGAGCGGGCGGTTGTGGGCAAGCAGGCAGACATGGGCAGGGAGGTGCCCAAGCCCACATCCCTGTCGTGAGGGGAGGGGCGGCTTCGTTGGTTCGTTATCGATGTGGACGGAGTTCTGAGAGGGCAGAGGTTGATTAGTAGGGATCCAAGTACATAGAAAAGCTATACACTTACCTTTCTTTGTGTTTTGGGGCTGTTTCGTCATGAAGGGTTGAGGGAGGAGGTGAAGAAAGACCCAGATCAACTATGTTCAACATTGTTGATCGTGGTTTGGCGGGATTTGGCTGCCCATCCCATTGGTTGGGATTATCGGCCCGATCCCGTTTCCGTTCTGTTGTTGACCAACAGAACGTCTCCGATGGATGCAGCATGCCTTATATCTTTATTCAAACTTTCGGAAACTGTTATTAGTGTAGAATTACATCTATGTAGGTAGTTTTAACAAAATATAGCAAGATTTAAATATTTTATGAATGAATTCATCTCCGGCTCAGGCCAATTATAGGCCTCTCACCTCTGTATGTAGATTCCAAGACAGAGAAGAAGGCAAATAAATAAGTAAAAATGGTATATAGACTGGCTTGTTGTGATAGTATTGAGGAATAGAGCTCCCCTGATGAACTTATTAAATTTAGGATGTACACTAAGAAACTATGAATGATGATGTGGATTCTGAAATGAAACTAACTCGAGATGTGTCAAAATTCAGACACTGGCTCGTATAATAAGATCTACATTGGAAATACAGGCTGATTTTTTCATATGTGGTACTTACTTCCTCCAGGACATAAAGTGCAAAGTTATTTTCGTATTCCAGCTTGTTGAATGAGTGGTATTCATAAGATTGAAACATCAGGAAGATGTAAATCACCACGCAGAGGGGGTAATTTGGGTGTTTAGCTCGGTTCTCACTCAGAAGTGATGTTCGGTCCTATCTTAATACATAGAGTACAGTACTGTGATTAATTACCAATACTAAATAACGAAGTTTTCATCCTATCTCTAGTGTATGAGCTATTCCGCCGTCGACGAGCGGAACGTGGTCTGGCCGGCCCATCAGAGCTAGCCAATCACATCGCTCACGGCATCCGCTGGATGAGCCATCAACGACGATGAGAGTGGTTGATCCTTCATCTCAACCACCACCTAGGGACTACCCTCATTGTCCACCACCACCAATGACGCCTCAAAGCATCAAAAAAAGGTAAGTAATATATTTTCTTCATAAATATGTACTCTAATTTACGTTTAAACCAACATTAGGTCAACGAATGTCGACTTAAAGTCGACGTTCGTTTTCTTTGCCTTTCATGCCCCTCCCCTTCAATAGGGATGTGGGCAGAGGCACGAAACCCCTGGGTCACCTCTTGCGCCCCTCTTGCGCCCCTCTCGCCTGCTCCATCCTCAGCTCCCCACCACCTTCCGCCTCTAACCGCCTGCGCCCTCGCTCTGCACACCTCCCCTTGAAGAGGGATGAATATGGGGAGCTTGCAGTGACTGCGAGGAAAACCGACAAACAATGAACGATGAATGACGATGATGATGACAAATGACAAATGATGACAAACAACGATGACGACAGCGGGTGACGAATGATGAGGGACGAGGGACAGCAGACGATGATGGGGGCACGACGAGGACAGCAGGGCACAGCAAGGACGGTAGGGGCACAACAAGGATGGCAGGGCGCACAACAAGGACGGCAGGGCACATGACAAGGATGGCAGGGCACATGACGACAAGGACGACAGCACGACGAGGACGGCAGGAGGGCACAACCGGGGGCACCCTTCATCCTCACCCTTGCCCCTCATCCGCTCCCCCATCCTCTGCCTTGCCCCTCATCCCCTCACCACCCTCACCACCCTCTGCCCTCGCCCTCGCCCTCTGCCCCCGCCCTCGCCCTCTGCCCCCTCCATCAGCCTTTCACCCTCTACCTCGCCTCTCACCCTCTCCACCACCTCTCGCCCTCTCCCCCACCTTCTCGCCCCTCATCCACCCCTCGTTTGCCCCTCCCTTGCCCCTCGTTTGCCCCTTGTCCACCCTCTGCCTCCCCCTCGCCCTTGTCCTCTGCCCTGCCCTCTCACCGATCTCGCTGTCTCACCCACCTCATCTCTCACCCCTCTCTGTTCGCCCCTCCTCACACTTCACCCCTTGCCCTTCGCCCCTCACCCTGGCCAGCACCCACCCGCCAGGCAAGAGCAAGAGGGTGGAACACAGGGAATGGAAGGGAGGAGTATGAGAGGGGGGGGAAGCAGGAGGATGGGCACAGAGCAGGAGGAGCGGATGAAGACAACAACCCACGTACAGCGAGCAAGACGGCGCCAAAGCGAATGCAAGGCCAACCGGAGGTGCCAAAGGCCAACAGGAACGCAGTGGCAACATGAGCAGGGCGGCGACACAAGCATGACACCGACACAAGCACGACACCGACACAAGCACAGCAGCGAAAATAAGGACGGCGCCGAACAGGAGCACAGCACTGACAGTACGGTCGTGGCAGTGGGTGGCCCATGCATGGTGGGGATGACCAGGTACCCCCCGAGCAGAAATGGCGCGCCATGAAGCACGCTGTTTCTGCTCGTTTTCTCTTTATTTCATGCGGGTGGCTAGTAGAGCCACCTGCCCCATGTATGTGATATATTATTTCAATTTAATATGATTTTTTCATAATTTTTTTTGTGTGCTGAGATACCCCTGAGCTCACCAGATGTCATGACAGACAACGGCAAGAGCTGTACAAGAGATGTGTCATTGTAATTACACCATAATCTAAAAATAGTACAAGAGCCTGAAAAAAGGCCACGTCATCCAAATGCACCTGGCCCAATCCACCCATTCCCGCCCCCCGACAATGGGGGAAATGGTGCACAACGACAAGGAAATATGTTTCCTCGTCATTGGCAGCTTTTCCCTGTCGAAAACGGGGGCGGGAGCACCCCAAACGACGAGGAACAGTGTCCAAGCACTGTTTCCTGTGTTGTTTGCATGTGTTGACATGCCCTGCCCACAGCTGTGAGCCCCGGCACACACGGCAAGGCCCTCTCCGTAGGTGGACTGTAAAATCACAGTCCTGACATATAAGTATACCTTGTTAAAATACAGTATCTGATATATTTTCGTGGCTTATAGAAGTGCACACATGCTGCAGGTCAGGCTTCCTGCCAAACGCTGCCTCATAGGGTGTCATGCCGCTAATGGCCTTGGTCAGAGTGCGGTTCATGAGCCATACAACATGTCACGCGGCTTCGCCCCAAAGGGATTTCAGAAGGCCACTCAAGTGCAGCAGAGCCCAAATGCATTCTGCGATCGTGCAGTTGCATCGTTTGGCAACTCCGTTGTGCTGGGGTGTGTCATGCATGGTGAGCTTCCACTCAGTGCCCTTGGATTTGAGGTGGAGGATGAATTCCTTGCCTAGGTATTCTCCCCCTCGATCTGAGTGAAGAACCTTGACGCAGGTGTTGAGTTGGGTGTCGCACCAAGCCTCGTAGTCCCTGTAGGCTGCAAAGGCCTCGTCCTTCTTGCATAGGAGGAAAAGGTTCGTCAAGTGTGTCTTGTCATCGGTAAACGTGATGTAGTAACATTTTCCGCCCTTTGATTTGACAGGTGCTGGTCCCCACAGATCACTGTGCACCTCACCACTGAACTCCGCTGCACACTTGCCCTCTCGCTCCTTCAGAATCAACTTGCGCGTTGCCTTTGCATACACACATGACTCACAGAAGAATGGCTTGCCAGACATCATGTGCTCCAAGTGCACGCCTGTCACAAATTTGTAGTTGATGAGCTTCTGGGCAATTCTGGGCAAGATATGCCCCAAGTGATAATGCAATTGGTCTAAGGTGAGTGTCTCAACTGCTGCGTTCGCCAAATCAAGCTCATGTTTGACTCGGTACAGACCCTTTGAGTTCCGAGGGATCTCCCCCACTCACTTGCCTTCTGGACCACGTATAACACATTTCCTGCTGCCAAACGTCACTGAAAAACCCTTTTCGCCGAGATGGCCAATGGAACCAAGAGTATAGCCCACTTCTGGAGAGTATAGGACCTCCATGAGCCACAGTTGCGAGGATTCGACACCATCAGGTATGTCGATCACCATCTCACCTTTGCCTGTTGCACTGAACGACTGCTTGTTGGCAGCGCAAAAGGTCTTTGGGGGTATCTCCTCAAAGGTCTTGAACTGATCGCGGTATGGCAAAATGTGCTGCGTGCACCCAGAATCGAAGAGTTCGACTCACATGTATGTGTACTGCCCTGGTCTGGCAGGTTCGGTGGCAACAAGAGCTTCATTGGGCAAGAAATGCTTGACGAACATGTAGTCTTTGGATGGGGATTCAGGTATGTCATCCATCTCCCACTCCGAGTCGTTGTACTCATGCGCGTCTTCAGCCACCTCGGAGAAATGGTCTCCGCCATTGAGCAAGGAGTCGTCGCCATACAAGTTGCCATCAGAAGCATAGGAGGTCATCTGGGATTGCAGGCTGGGCATGGAGAGATGAGACATTGAGTTGGTGTCGGATTCCTCTGCTGCTCATGCTCCCTCTTCCTCATCGTCCGTCTCTGCAGCATTCACACTGCTGGACTGCTTCAGTGAGTCGTTCGCCTTCTTCTTCTTCCCCTTCTCACTAGAGTTGGCCTTTGGGCACTTGTTTTGGTAGTGACCCTTCTTGCCACATGTCCAGCACTCAATATGGTCCCTCCTCTTGCTTCCACCGCTCTTTGCCTCCACCTTTCCCTTCAACAATGGCACCACTGACATCGCCTCATCACGGTCCTCTTCCTTCGACTTGCCACCACCTTGTCGATGCACTCACTGCACTTTCTGGCAGTCAGCTTCTTCAATTAGAAGACCAATTAGGACGTCAGGAACGATTGTGCGGGTTGTGGAGAACATCCATGCTGAGGCAAGTTGTTGACAAGTAGTCCTTGTTGCCGATGTCGACGCCCACCTTTGCAAGCTCTTCCTTCTTCACACGAAGGCTTCCTAGGAACTCACAAATGTTGCCCTTGTTGGGGCATTTCGACTCCAGGAACTTGGTGCAAAGCTCAGTCTGAGCATAAGCACCCTTCTCCGTGTACTTGGTTACGATGGTGTCCCAGCGATCCTTGATGGTCGTCTTGGAATGGACGCACATTAACGTCAAGTCGGGGATCTTCTGCGTCAGCAAAGATTTTGCCAAGCGCTCATCTTTCAACCACTGCGCCTCCTCAGGTGTGACCGTACTCGTTACTGTTCCGTCTGGAGCAGTGATGGTAATAGCCATTGGTCGAGGAGTCATACCATCAAAGTGGCCCCAAAAGCCTTTTGCCTCGATGGCATCTTGAAAATGAACCGAGAAGATGGCCCAGTTCAAGCCAGTGGTGTCGAGCTTTGGGACAGAGGACGGAAGAGAGTCGGAGAGGGAAGTGGTCATTGTATACATGGTAAACAAAGTGCGGTGTAAACAGGTACATCAGGCAAATGAAATCTTGCTTTAGGCACAGGAAGCAGAGCCCATAACCTGTAAGAATCCTAGCACAAAGTCTAGGTAACGACATAAGTACACGAGAAAGTACAAGGACAGGAAGGTAACTCACCTCAGTCGTTTGGGAAGCAAATGGCTGAGGGGAGACGACGAGAGTCCATAGCTTATATACATAGTAAGTACACTGTCTGTAGAGTACTCAATGGAAACAAGTAAAACAGGAGAGAAATGGGATTGAATATCCCAGGGATAAAATGAAGGAAAAATGTGCAATAAAGAATAGTGCAGGTACACAAATAAATGTGAGGCTATGTAACATGGAGAGTGAACAAAAGAAAGAGATATTGTACATACTTGTGGCAGGACTGCAGTGCTAGAGGTGCAGGTGCCAAAATGGAGTGGGATTGGCTCAGGTTTGCCGTCCATATTCCAACATGTGGTGATGGAGGGTTGTTGCCTCATTGACAATGACTTTTCGAACTCTCTTCTTTCTGGAGTATATAAGGTTCAATAAAGAAAGCCTCAGTCTCAAAGATAAATTAGATACATACCTGCATGCCTTGCAGCAGCGATGCCTCATCCCAGAGGGACCTTCAGGTGTGTTGAAAAACTCGTCCATGTCACAAGTTTTGTTCCTCATTGATGTTGTCAACACCTCAGGTTCCGGTTCAGGTGATTGCAATGGCAAGGGTGAAGCATTGCAAGGTCGCTTTGACGGTCCTATTTACCACAGAAATCAGTCACAATGATAAGGACAACACATTTGGAAAGTTACCTGGATGGGAGGGTTCTGACTGGACCACCTCCACTTCATCTTCATCATCAGTGTCGACTACTGAAGCGCTTGGTCACTTTCAGGATGTTGCTGAGGTGGCAGTTGTGGAAGATGTCAATGGCATGGCATTTGAAGTGGGTTCAGCCCCATGTTCACAATGAGCTTGATCCCATGCTTCGTGGTGAGAAGCCAATAGCAGCTCAGCATTGTTCGCAGCATCACGAACTCAGTTTGACGCAGTGTGAGTATGTTTGCTTTGTTTGAGGTTGATGGAGCTGGCTGTTTGGGCCATGATTGACAGATACGTCAATGGTTCTCAAGTTGGTTGATCCACTTACGTACATTTAAGGTTCACCTTACTGGTTGCTAGTTCTTCCTTAGAGTTCAAAGTCTGACGAAATTTACAAGGCTGAAGCCCCACCTCAGGCCTTTGGCTCAGGCTTTCAAGATTCTTAGGCCAGGCCAAAAGCCTCCTCAGGCCGTCCCCTTGGCCTGGCTTGGCCTGGCTTTTGGCTTCAGGCTGGAGCTGGCACATCACTACATTCAACCCACCTAATTCTTGACCCATTGAAGAGGTAGCTGCAGGAGTGTGCCTACAAAGTGTCTAGAACAAACACTTCACAGGAAATACAACTTATTGACCAGACTACTATCCAATCAATAATATTTGTAATTGGTAAGGAGGATGATGATTTATGGTACATAACTGAACATGATAGAACACCATTCCCCCATTGTTCATCCTCGGGTTCTCAGGCGTTAGAGTTCATTAGCTAGTCAATCTAGCTTGTTGAGCAGTCCCTCTAATAGTGTCGCTATCATGTCATTCAATGGGTTGATGTGGTGTGGATTGTTTCTTAAGGTTGACTTGGACTTGCTTGACTTAACACAACTAGAAACTCAAAAATGCCCTCAGACTTCATTCTCTGACTTGACTTAAACTTATTCCTTTGACTGACTTATGGTACATCACTACTTACTACCCACCAACCCTGCAGGTTTTCAAAACCTGTGCCAATCCCTACTTATATGGCTCATTTAAGGTCATTTAGAAGATATTCAGTGTTTCTAAACACTGCAGGAAGTCACCCAGTTCAACATCAGCTTGAATTTGCAGTGTATGTAGATTACAGTGGGTTCAAACTATAATGACAGATACCTACTCCACAAAGCAGTTTGAAAAGTCATGAGTATTGCTTTTGGATAAACTTGGCAATAGTTTGCAGCTGGATGTTGGATGTGCCCTCATAGATGGCACCCTATGCACAAAGTCATAAGGAAAATGGAAAGTATTGCCGAGGAAAGCCACTCACAATCTTCGAATCTCTCCAGAACTTCTCAATGCCAGTCTCACGTGTAAATCCAACACCACCCGCCCACTCGATCGCCTTGCCTGAAACATTCTGAGCAACAACACTGCTCCAGTACTTTGCCATCGCGGCTTCCTTCGTGAAGTCCTTCCCTTCCTCTTTGAGACGCGCCGCATTGTAGGTCAACAAGCGAGCAGACTCAATCTCAATGGCCGCATTCGCGATCTGGAATGCCATGCCCTGGAAGGTCCCGACGGGCTGCCCGAATTGCTGGCGTTGGTAGGTGTAGGGGACAGCTTTGTCGAAAGCGCCCTGTGCTAGGCCGAGCATCTGGGCGGCGATGCCGATACGTCCTTCATTGAGGATCTCGATGGCAATCTGGTGAAGAGGACATGTTACTTCGTAAGCAAGGATAAAATAAGGCGAAGGTGATAGAGAACCTTGTAGCCCTTGCCCTCACCGCCTATGATGTTCTCCTCGGGAATCTTGAGGTCGTCGAAGTCGAGCGTGCACGTAGAAGAGGCGCGAATACCGAGCTTCTGTTCCTTCTTCGCAATTTTAACTCCCATATCCTTTGTCGCGATAAAGCAGGTGATGCCCTTGTAGCCTTTGCTTGGGTCGATCTGAGACGACAGGCATAGGGTTGAATGAATGTAGGAGGCCAAAATTAGAATGGGGACATACGTTGGCGAAGATGAGGAATATCTCGGCCTCGTAGGAGTTTGTGATCCACATCTTCGAGCCGTTGAGAACCCAGTTATTTCCATCCTTTTTAGCGCGGGTTTTGAGAGCGAAGGCGTCTGAGCCGGAGGACGTTTCGGAGAGGCAGAAAGATCCGAGCTAGCGAGTTCAGGCCTTAAGACCTGGAATGTGACAATGCAACAAGTGAAGGCACACCTTTGACTCAGAAAGCTGTGGTAGCCACTTCTCCTTCTGCTCCTCGGTACCATACTTGCGAATGACGGTGTTGACGAGTGTGTTGTGGACGTCGCAGAGGACGGAGACGGACGGGTCGACCTTCGCGAGCTCCTCGATGGCGATAATGGCAGACGTAAACGACGAGCCAGCGCCACCTTGTTCCGGGCTAGTTTCGATGCCCATTAGCTGTTGGGTCAAAGTTCAGCCGGACGGGACAGAGCGTAGAGATTGGGGTAGACAAGGAGACGGAGTTCCGGAGAGCGGAAGGACGTACGCCTTGCTGGAAGAGCCCGTCGATGATGGAGGGATCCATGGACTCGTTTTCGTCCATCTCCCGGACCTTGGGTTCGACAGCGTCTGCTGCAAAACGCTTGACTGTGGGGTAAAACATTGAGATGCTGTGGATACTGCTATTGCTTCGAGAACATACCAGCGTCGCGCAACATCTCTTCCTCCTCTGTGAAGACAGCAAGAGAGGTGGGTCTGAGGTCTGCATCTCGTCTGCATCGCGTCGAGGAGAATGTCCTGGGTGAGGAGGGGCAGATCAGGGGGCAGCTTCGACCAGATAGCCGTTGGAAGATACCTGGTCACAGATTGGAGGACAGAAGGGCGGAATCGCAGGGCCTTTGCTGAACGGGCGGCCGTGGAGAGCATGGCAAGATGAGAGAAGGAGAGGGAGACGAGTGGAGGGAGACAAGGTAGCCGGCTCGCGTCCGGATTGGGTGCATGTTTCCCGGTCAGGTGATCATGAACCAGCTCGCGTTGCAGAGTCGAACCAGCCTCCTCACCTTGACACAAACCACGATGGCTGCCCGACTACTGCTCGTCGCTGCTGCCGCCGTCGGCGCTCTCGCCTACAAGAACACTGCTCCAGTCGTCGCTTGGTCCTCGTCGAGGTAGAGACTTACCTGAATGCTTGTGTCCGAAGTAAACTAATGCATGCTCCAGTTCCCATTCTCTCGGCTCGGCACCTTCTCATCTCGCTGGTGACGTCTACTCCGGCTCTCTGCTGGAGAGCTTCTTCGACTCGGACGACGTCTGCAAGCACGATGCTATCGTCATTGTCGAGCACCCAGGGGTAGTTATCCATTCTGCGATGCACACTAGAACTATGGTAACCAGCGTCCGCAGTTGCATTCATCCGACCTCAGCGCCCTCACCCCTTTTACTCCACTCGCTCGCACTCTATCCGAGGCACCTTCAATGCGTCAATATGCATACGTACCTCACCTCCCAAATCTGGAGCTCCCAAAACTAGCCGAAGCTGTCTCGGCAAAGTGCCGTTCACGTCTGCATCAATATACGCCGAGTGAGCGAACAGGAGATCCCGTCGTGAAGTCCGGCGAGAAACATGTCGTTTGCATAAAGATGCCTCGTCTCGATCATTCGGGCCAAGAGAGGAAGCAGAAAATGGCAGAACACGGTGCGTATATGCGCTCTCTTGGGTCAATTTGTTCGTATACTGACGTCGTATATTTTCCATTCGACAGAGTCTATGCTGAGCAACGAGCTCTCATCCCTCGCGTCCATTTTCCCTGACCACTTCGTTGTCTACTCCGGCGTCCCAATTGCTCCTCCTTCACCCTTCATCTTCCTCAAGCGCCAAGCTGACGAAGACTCGCCCGACCGCCCGATCCTCGATCTCTCCTCGCAGGATCTCTCTGGACCAAGTTCATTCGCGGCAGCCGACAACGGTACTCTGGCTAAGGGCGGCATCCTGAAGAAGTACCAGCTCCTGACACCCGGCCTCATCACGGCCCTGCTCGTGGTCTTCTTCGTCTTGCTCCCGGTAATTTACGTCGGCCTCAGCGCGTTGGCAAGCATTCAGAACCCATTGCGGGTTGATGTGTCGAAGAGCTTCAATGCCCAGGAGAGAAAGAACCAGTAAATTGATCGGGTTCTCGAGTCTGTTGCCGATCCGAGTTGGACTTTGCAGATTAACTTATATCGCCTCTTTCGAGTCTATGTAGCAGATATGCTTTCCTAGGCGTGTCCAGTTCGTCGGGCCCTGCATTGATCATGAGATACATTTAATCTGTGAGTCTCCTTGGAGCGAAGCTTGAACCGTTGTCGAAATATAAACCAAGCCGGTTTGTCTTCCACAAACGCCAAACTAGCTACAACTAAGTATGGCATTCGCCCTCTTTTACTGTTGACCACATCCATCATCTGCAGCACCCTCATATTCTGGACTGGAACTCGAAGCGATGGTAATGGTGAGATGATCCCCATGTTTCTTCCAACTTGTACAAGTTCCACGGCTCATACCCATCGCTCTTAACTAGACTTCAGACACGGAGAGAAGGAAGGTGCCACCTCGCACCCAATCCGCGTCTCCCATCCTCCAGATTTCACCAGACATCTTGTGCTTGATCATAACCTCCCTAGCCTCCTCCGAAGACGAGCGCAACCCTCGGTTCCTTGACACCCTCCGTCTGCTCAGCACGGTGTGCCACGACTGGCGCAAGGCCATCCACATATTCGACGACCTCTGGGGTCGTTTCCTCGATGTTACGAAAGGGTCCTCTAGCTGGAAAGTGATCCACCTCGCGCGGACGCAGTCTGCCCCTCTGCATCTCCTCACCAGTAGGCAGCTAGAGAGCACGGATACAGAGAGCTGCGAATTCGTCCGGATGCTCCTCGCGACAAAGGCGTTCAGAATTCACGTTATCGCATTTGACTTGGTGGAGGTCGCTGGCATCAAAGACTTCTGGGGGCACCTCAGTCATCAGCCGTTTCCCAATCTGAGGTATTTCGATGTCGTCACGCTTGATGAATACGATGATGCTACGAAACCGCGTCCGTTTTCTTTCTTCAACAAGCAGGCGCCCAAACTGGAGCATTTCATTGTGCGTGGATGCTTCTTGGCTCCATGGTTGAACGCGGAAATCTTCTCCAACCTGCGGACGCTGGACATGGCGGATTCATACTGGAACCACGGATATTCGCTGCAGATGTGGCTTTGTGCATTGACGCACATGCAGCGCCTCGAAGAGCTCTCGCTCAACGACGCGTTTCTCGACGTGGAGGGACAACAGCTTGAAAAGATGACCCCGGGCTTGCAGTCGTGCCCTCTCGTACGCCTCCCAAGGCTCCGAAAACTTCGTCTCTGGCAGTGCCTGTTCGCCTCTACCGTCGTCTTGAGCAAGATAGTCCCTGAGGTTGGCTGTTCTGTTGAAGTCCTAGTCCACGTCCAGCCCAACTCAATCCCTAAGGCTGGGAAATCGGATACTCTTATGGCGTCCCTTTACTCCGAGTATCTCTCAACGGCGGCGATCTGCTGGGGCAAACAAAGGCCTACACGATGCTTCATTCAAATGTATTATTACAAATACCGTTTCCTGCTGCTAGCCCCAGTCGGTGAAAGTACAGACGAAATACTCCTCGACCTCAAAGTTGCCTGGGAACCAGAGGACGAGGGTTATAATGAGTCAGGGTTCCATCGTGTGCTATGGGAGATGGGTTTCATCTTCTCCCGCTTCTCGACCTCTCTCCTGGCTTCGGTGACACCTACCGGCTCGTTGATGGGCGACCCACTGGTAGCGTTTATGCAAAAGTTTCCCAATGTTCGAGAGATCTGTGGTTCCCCAGACAGCCTGGCGGTCGTGAAAAGACTTCTCCGCATTTCAATAAACACAGATAGGCGCGGCAAACCTCTTCCTTGCCCGCTCTTGGAGCGCATGACTACATGCAGCGATGCATGCCAAAGGGTAGGTCAGTCACTAGTCTGGTACAAGGATCGACAGGAATGCACGAAGCAGGGCATACGGCGACGCGAGGGTTCATAGAAGACCTGGATACATGGACACGTACTCAGGCAGTGTGTGCTGAGAAAGCAGCACTGGTGGCGCGGGTGAGGAGACAGCTTGGACATTTACGAATGATATCACCACTGTGTTTTCTCACCTGTCCTCAGGGTGCACACAGTTGGCCTGAAATCCAAGAAAGCGAATGCATTGTACAATAATCAAGGTAGTGCGTGTGGGTTATACTTAATTGTGAATCAAGGAAACTTCTGAATGCTATGCTATGCTCAAAACTTCACACCTTCAGCTCGACGAAGCAGGACCTTCGATCACACGGACACCATTCCTCGCGGCTGCAACGCTCGACCCAGCACTGCCGCCAAGTGCAGAGTCATCGTTATCCATCTCAGCCTCCTTGCTGCAGCACGACTGCCATGCGAACCACATCATCGTTCTCAGCTGGAGGACGTCCTCCTTCCAGACCTTGCTCTGGTTCTGCTCCCTGAACTCCTTCGTCAGCTTCTCGCAGCGGTCAATGTTCTCCGGGCTGACAAAATCGATGGCGATCTTCATGCAGTCGGACATATTCGCGACCTTTAGGATCCATCCGAAGAGTCAGTCGAAATCCTGGAAGAGAGGAGAGCGGACGCACCTGATGGGCACAACCAGCGGGGATAAAAATACCGTCGCCTGGCCTTTGGTAAATTCTGATGGCCCGAACATCACAGGCCTGCGCCAGTTCCATTCGCATCTCGGCGTCCAGGTAGAATTGCTGACCGTGAATGGGGTCGTGAGTCATAAGCTGCGCTTGTGCTGCGGCGGACGCCTTATCCCCCGTCTTCGCCCCAGCACCCCCAGGTCCAAACTTCTTCCTTAAATATGCCCGAATCTTATCGCTATCTTCCGCCTTGAAGAGATCCCACGCGGCGTAGCCAGGGGTGCCGTCCTCGCAAGGAGTCGCGTAGAGCATAACGTTGAGCGCATCGGCCATATCCATATGCAGCCGCGTAGATCCCTTGGTGCCAGGTTCTTGCGTAGACGCCATCGCGTTGTACATCTTAGGTCCTGCAAAAATCGGTACTATTAGGCACGAAAACGGTGACGAACAGGAAAGAAATACGGGACGCACCGAGGTCTGGCCCTACAGCATTAGTCGGGAAGTGTGAACCGAGGTTCTCCACCCCATCGCGTCTAACATAGTCTGGCACAGGAACAGCATTGCTAAAATCTTCGTACAGCTCCGGAAATGCGGTCTTAAACTCGGCAGTTGGCGGCCAATCCTAAACCCAATCAACGTCAGAAACTCAGGGAAGCTGAGTGCGAAGAAAGAAAAAAACTCACCTTCAACTTCCAGCACTCCGTGCGACCCTCGTACTTTCCAAAGTCGCTGAAGAAATCGCGGATAGTCACCCGCCTGTTCACGTCCGTCTGGCATTCGACGATCAAGCATCCTTGATCGCCGTACTTCTGGATGAAGTACTCAGGATCCCATCGTAGTTTGAACCTTGACTGGCAGTCCTTGACGAGTAATGGCTTGCCTTGCTGCCATAAAGAGGCAAAGGAAGTAGCTGGGGTCGTAGATGAGCTATTCGGTGGGCGTGGATCGAACATGGCAGCTGAGATGACCTGGGCTTGAAGGGTGGGTACACGTTTGTTGGCGTCGGTGAGGTTTGAGACAATGAAATCGTCAAATACTGGCGTGATAAGAGGGTCGGGGAAGGGCATTGAGGGATGGCTGAGGAGTTGTGAATACATCAAGGGGGTGGTCCCCGCGGCGACAGACGCAGGGGTATCATCCGCCTTCTCCGACTGGAGGATCTTCTCCATGTTCTTGATCGCTTTTTCCAGTTCTGACCTGACGAACCTCGTAACAGGGGTGAACTCAACGACCCCGTGCTCATTTCTCTTCGTGCAACTTAGGAAGAAGGGATTTGCGTGCGCATGCCTTTCTCGTCGATTGGCAAGCGCAGCGAGCTCGGCCGGAGTGGCGTTGTGTGGTTGCTCGGTCAACTCGCGAACCTGCTGGTAACACTCGTTGCACACTTCGCGTCCACAAAGTCGGCACATGAAGGAGGTAGAAAAGATGGAGGTTATACACGTATCTGAAGATATTATCAATAAAAGGTGGCATAAACCACAAGGAGGGAGTACCAACCACACGTCGCTCGAACATCGGTCTCCCGTGGTCTTCGAACGATTTCTGGGACATTCAGATGGTCGAATTCGGCCTTCAAGATAGGCAGAAGCGCTTTAGCGATCGCCAACTGCCAAACGAAAGGTCAACTTTCTATCCTACGATATGAACATGTTGCACTTACCTTCGTCCGCCGTACGTGACTCCTCTCAAACTCTCGATTCCACTTCGTCGGATACTCCATCTTCGTACCCTCCGTCGGCATCAAGGCGTTACGTTCGTTAAAACTAAGACCCCGTAAATTCCTGTCAGCATCCCGCATAAGATATCGAATTCCTTGGAAACGACAAGTGTCCCCTGCCCATCGGCGGGTGCACGATACGCATCGAGGGAATTCCTCTTTGCGATACCGGTTCGACATACAACGGGCGAACTGGAGCTCCGGGATGAGGGGCGGAAGGGGATCAGCATCGCCTGGGCCACTAGCTGAAGACATGCAAGTCAGCAATGGGGGTCAGAAGAGAAAAGGGAACGGTAAGAACCTGCGTTATATGCTACAGTTCCAGCTCTCTGAAGAGCTGACGCTAGAAGAGGGACATGGAATCAGCGAAGCTGGAAATTATGCTTCGAAATCATAAAAGAAAGATGGGCCGATTGAACGCAGATGTCAAAGAAACATCTATCAATGAACGTGGATCACGGCACAAACAGAGCCAGCACGACACAATCACGACAGATATGCGTGGAGATGGCCACGGCGATACCTCCCAGATAGAAGATGAGGTGAGAACATACCGTTCTGAGCAGATATCAAAGCGGCTTCACTGCGCTTCTTGGCGTTGTAGCCACGCTTCGAGGTCCCTATCGATGCAAGCAGTTAGCTCTGTGACCGACAAGCTAATTCCACCCAATGGAAGAAGAACAGGGCAGAAATAGTCTCGCATATGACAAGTGACGAAGGAAGCTATTTTAGTGTGAGGAGGATCACCCCTCGACAGCAATTGGATGGGTAATCGCGAAAGAGAAAAACACAAAGGAGTTACCGGAGAAGAAGGAACGAGTCCCGGAAACACACACACACGAGATATACACGCACCTGCTGTACTGGACGTTGCTCCCGTTCCCGTGGCTGTCGATTTGACTTTGGCTTTGGGTCGTTTTGCCTTGGGCGCTGGCTCAGCCTCGCTGTCAGGCTGTTGCCGTTTGGTAGATGTGGAGGGAGCCCCAGAAGTCCTAGGAGGCTCGGAGGAGAGCCGCTGGGGCGGCGCGGAAACAGGCACAGGTTCCTGCATTTGTGGATAGGGCGGCTGGGTAGTGTATAGGTTGGAATAGTAAGCTGTTGTCGAGGAAGACGTATACCGCATGCCATGGGAGTCGTTCGACGACTCTGGAACAGTGCTCTGTGCGGCAATACGAACGGACGCTCGTTCCGTTGCCTGCCATGCTGATGGATCAAAGGATTGCAGGTCAGAAAGAACGATCATAGCACAGGCCAGATGTTTTACATTGCGCATCCGAAGGCGCTCTCGCCTGCTCCTCATAGCTCGATGGGTAAGTACCTGGGGGAAGGACATCAGATTCAAGCACGAGAAGTTGTGCCAAGAACGCTGACTTTGAGACTGGTAATCACCGGACAAAGCTAGAAGAGAAGACATTGCGACACAGTCAGCGGAATAGCACGTGAAGGTGATGAGGACTTACCAGTTCGTTCGTCCGAGTACAAGGGGGACATCACGGGAGCGCCATAGGGCATGCTAGCAAGATGGTGCTGGCTTTGCTGGTGCCATACGGTGCTGCCGTCCGCGTACTCGCGTGACTCGCTCATCCGCGGCCTCGCCATCATCCGTGAATCGTTCATATCGGTGTACCCGTGAGCTGAAGCTTGCGGGCCCATCTGAGGGTGCTGATGCAGGTAATGCCGCTGCATATGGGTCCCATTGAGGGACTTGCGCTTGCTTGGATCATCCACCATGTCCCAGCTGGCGGCCCTGAGATTGTAGGAGCCGTTTGGGGGATACGCGGAGCCATAGAGGGCGGTCGGGTGGCCATGCGGCTGGGCAGAAGTCGCGTCTAGTGCCGCTGAAGCGAGGTGGGAGGGGAATGCGGAGGCGTCCTGGGGGTTTAAGAGGGAGGTTATGGATGTTTTCTTGCTTGGATCCTGTATTGCGTGCATCGGGGACGAGGAGGAGGGATGTGGTGGGAGGAAAGGAGGATGATTCGGAGCTGGAGAGTGACTGACTTCCAACTTTCGTCCAACTCCGCCAAATAAATATCAGAACAAATCGCGAGCCACGTGCCGCCCTCATACGGCCATCCTCCTCAGATTTGTGTCTCCCCGACGCGCCGTGGCCTCGCCGCACACCCCAGTTCTCTTCTTTTCGTCCGCGTCGTGGGGACATTAAAACCCTAATCCACACGAGCTTCGTCTGTGCATATGCATCATAGAAGGCGCTCGATAACGCTAATAGACTCTGCAGCCAGGCAATGTCCGAGATACCAGGACGTCTTTGCCATTTCCTTTATTTTCTCATCAGGTTTCCCCGCCGACTGCCATTCCACACGACCAACGCGGAATGGCAACCGTCGTATTCAACATCCCGAGAGACTTCTCGAACTGACGCGTCAGACAATCCCTGCGCCAAAACCGCGACGCCCCTTTGACGTAAGCAGTCCAGAGGCGAATGGGGTTCAGGGTCGCAAGCTTTCACCCTTCGCCAGACCGTTTCCTGCAAGGAAGAAGCGCCAGAATCGCTCCCGAGCGATCCTCCTGATTCCGATGGTCCATGGACTTCCTTCAACGGCACTCCTCACGCTTGCCTGCTGCTCATTCACCGGTCTTCGAAGCGCAAAAACATCATATCCTGCTACAGCGCCTGACAGGCCGCATCATATCAGCAATGTCATCGTCGATATCAGGTCGATATCAGGAAAGCAGTTCCCTGTGACTCCCGGTCTAGAACGCCCCTCTGCCGGCATCTCACAGCACGGTTTCGAGCTCATAGAAAGCCTCTTTCCGCATAAAGCCGACCAAGCTCATGCCAATTCAATTCTTACGGTACGAAGAGGTCCTGCAGCATGGTTTAGACGTGGTGATGAGGGGATAGAGTTGGCTTAAGTCATAACACGAGGTCTAGTCAAGGCTATCGCGCGGAAAACCCGCGCGAGCGCTAAATCAAGAATGTCGTCAGTCTCTGCTTGGCCGTTTTGGGAATGCCGTCGCAGTCAGTGCTTATCAATAGACTCGATGATCATGGAGCGGGAACAGTTGATAATAGCATCAGAATTAGAGATCCCCATCGTGACTATCCAGGTATGTCCCAAGTCCTTGCAGGTTCACTGCAGTGAGGGTACTAAAACTCAACGTCCAGACTCCGGTCCAGAGAACAACCTGGACTTCTCGAGCGTTTGTATACAATCGGCTCTTCGGTGGCGTCGCGGGGTTGCGCAAACTCTGTTTATAGACCACCAGAAAACCGACTCGTCGTGCGACAGAGGTATGTCCAATCGTGTTTGAGTCGTCTTCGTCCAATCATATCCTCAAGTCCATTGTGTCCAATAGATGCTCAGATCGCTCCCCGCCAGGTCTCTGTGGAGCTCCCAGAAGCCTGCGCCAATGGGAATCAAATATTCAGAAACAGTTGATTGGTTGCCGATCGAGCATTACGACAAGCTCGGGGCGAGTCGCATTTGCAAAGCATAACAGAACGAGAAGCTCCAAAAAATGGAAGTCGGCGCCGGACGACGAGCACAATATATTATAAGTAACTAACGCTGCAGAGCGACTCATTATCGTGTTTACCCATCCCAATGGCGCGTACGAAGCAGACCGCTCGAAAATCCATCGGAGGCGAGCATGTCTCGTTCCTCGAAGATCTCGTTTTCCTCTGAAATCATCTCTTCCTTACACAGGAAAAACAAACAGACACTCCGGATTCTACAGCCAGATGGGCGTCAAGACCGTAAACTCGGGCAGTTACGCCATGAAGTCTCTCACATCTCAAGTGGTAAGCTTGGTATCCACTACTCGCAGCCCACTTCCGGGCTTTCGTACCGTATGTGCCGGCTGCAATGCGCCACACTCCTTCCTGGATCCCCCCCCGCGACCCTGACGCTACGAAGTCGATCCTTGTCTCTTCTGCCGTGCCCTCACTTTCATTTCCCCCCTTTCATAATACCTATATCTGACTGCGAAGCCCAACCCCAACCCCAGACCTACCACCAGCCTCAGCCTAATCCAAAGAAACCACACCGCTTTCGCCCCAGCGAACTCGCCCTGCGCGAAATCAGGCGCTACCAGCACTCCACCGATCTACTTATCCGCAAGCTACCCTTCCAGCGGCTCGTCCGCGAAATCGCGCAAGACTACAAGGTGGGTTTGTCTCTCATGACTCCAACGATCTATTCAGTATTATGTTATCCTCGTCGTCATTCGTACGGAGACGTCAATGTCTATGCGTTTCCCTCGGCTTTCAACGAACGAGGTACGACATTTCGAACTTGGGCAAGAGGGTGCAATCAAGATTCTACCTCTCGACTTATCGTGGCCCCCGGCCGCCTCCTTCCACAACCCATTTCATTTCCTTTTATTCATCCATTCACTCCGACTAAAAATGCTTGACATTTCATGGCACTAATAATGACATATGCCCCACAGGCAGACGTGCGCTTCCAATCCTCCGCCATCCTGGCCTTACAGGAGGCCTCCGAAGCGTACCTCGTTGCCCTCTTTGAAGATACCAACCTTGCCGCCCTTCATGCAAAGCGGGTCACCATCATGGTGCGCGACATGGTTCTGGCGCGTCGCCTGCGACGAGAGGTGCGAATGTATTGACGAGGGAGTCTGGGCTTGTCTTATCTTGCTGTAAAATAGAATAGAACATCTCGGGAGGAGCATATGTACCTGCTTTATGTTGTCTACAGCAGAAATTTCCGTGAGATCAGAAGGGGTCCTTTGTCCCTCGGCTTACTACAGTTTCCAGGCATTCTGAAGCTGTGAATGGTTTTCATAAAAATAAGCTTTGGTGAGGTGAGCGTCAGACGTAACCCAAGCGAGTTACGTCAAAAAGAAGAACCAAAAAGGAATGACCGAGACAGGGGTCGAACCTGCAATCTCCTGATTATACCAATCACTTGTCGCGACTGTCGTAGTCAGACGCGATGCCATTTCGCCACACGGCCATATATATATATGCCGTTTGACCCATCACTATAAGCTAATGAGGTTTGAGGACGACAGCCGTGTTCACATTCCCGCGAAAGTTGTATCCTGCCGTACATGCCCGCCCTGCTCGGCCTTGATAAAAGTCATCCGGGACGGTCGCCTGGTAAAAAGAGAGAGAGAGACCTCAGGCCACCAAAAGCGATCGACCCTCTGTGTTGAATCGTAGAAATAGTTGGCAACTAGAAACTAAGCGCCGAAAGAGGCGCCCAAAAGACCCTTCACGATGCTTATCATCCACTCAAGTCATGCGATGATAAGGCAAAAAAAGAAATGAATATAGATATAAATAAGAGGTATCGAGAGACAGAAATACAGCAGCCGCGATGCCCGAATGATACATAAGTGCGACGAGAGAATACATGCTAGGGCAGGAGAGATAGGTCCGAGACAAATAAAGATGTCCGAGAAAGAAGGGAAATAGTAATGTGCGATAGATAGTAAATCGAGAAGAAAGAGGAAAGGAAAGGAAAAGAGAAAAGAACTTGTTGGTATGCGGTCGACAGAGTCTGGCGACCAGTAGTGGGAAAGGCGACGATCCAGGATGACAAGCACGATGGCGTCCAACGAAGGGGGCTCAGAACGACGACAATTCCACAACACTCCTCAGAAACCCACTCTGAACACCCACCCACACCCACACCCCAACCAGCCTATGCACACCCCATCCCAATCATAGCCCACCCCGACGCACGATCCTCGAGAGCGACAAACGTTCGTCAACGCTGCCTCCTCGGGTGTGCAATCGGCCACCGCACCCCATCGCACAGCCAAGGACCCTCGTCAGAGCCCCGACTGCACGATGAAAGTACCTCGCAAGGCAAAGTGCGGTGGGGCGAGAGTGCCGCCTCGTCAGACGCACCCTCGAACCGGTGGGTAGGGCGAGGCACGGGCTCGTCAGCGCTTGCCCCGCCCGGGAAGAAGAACTTGAGATGGTGTGCTGGACTTGAGGGCGTTGGATCGAGTGATGAGCCAGAGTAGGAGCCGGAGAGCTGTCGTGTTGTGTCATCGTCCAGTGCCAGGGTATATGCAGTCGTAGTTGTTATCGTCGAAAGACCAGAAGTCGCCACACCGCCACGAGAAAGAACCATCGCCAGAAACCACCGCCCGCCCGAACCAGACCACCAAACGCCCCACTTCACAACCGCCACCACACCATCTCAAAGCGCCTCTCCCTGCGTCGGGTGCCAATCTCCACTCTCCTTCATCTTCATCGCCCTATACGCAAGCCCGCCGACGATCTCCGGCGGGAGCGGCGCCTCCATATGGGTCAGCCCACCCCCCGGCGGGCCCTTCGACCCCGACCCGCTAGCCTGAGGGACAGCCGAGGAAGGAGGATCCTCCTCGATGGTGTAGAGGATCCTAGGTGCTTTCGGGTAGGGCGAGTCGCGGGGACGGGGTCGGAGAGGACGCGAGGGCGAGCGCTCGGGAGTGGATGGGGCGGATAACGGTGAGGACAACGGGGTAGTAGCATAGGATGAGGGAGAACCATATGCATGACCGTGATCATGACCAGAACTAGAAGCATGAGCAGAGGACGAGGCATTGCCGGAGGACGAGGTATGGGCAGAGGAACGAAGCCAAGGCGGGCGGACTTTGATGATCTCCATATGTTCCCCCTTCTCCACCTCCGTGACTGGCTCAAAGTAGCGCACCTCCGCCCAGTCCTTCCACTGCACCTTCCTTGCATCGAAGTCATCGGAGCCCACGTTAAAAAAGGGGTGGTAGTCCCATACGTAGTCCGTCGTAGTCTATAATCGTACCCAACACAGCATCAAACCGAGTTCCCTTTAAACGCGGGGGGAAAGAAGAGACGCACCTTAAGCCACACAGAGTCCTTATACAACCCACTGCACCGCGGCTTGCCCTTCATACGGAAACTATACGAGTTAAGGAGCGGCTCGAGGAAGAAGCCCGCCGACTCCATGAACACAAGCGGCGGGACCTCCTGGTCGTACACCGCGCACAACTTGTCAAAGTCGAGCCCGACCCTCCTTGTCTGGTCAGCCGCAGCTGCCGCCTCAGCGGTGCGGAAGGCCGAACGGAGCTGTGGATATGGACGGCGCGCATCAGTATCTAACCTATCGTAGAAGGGGAGTGGAGACGTACCTTGACCTTGGGCACTCGCGTGAGCTCCAGCACGACGAAGAGGAGCGCCCATCCGAGACGGTAAATCACCCAATAGTCCTCTGTCCCCCTCCTCCTCCACCAAGCTGCAACGATCAGGTCCAGAGAATGAGTGGGCGCGTCACCAAATGTCGTAGGCGAAGGAGAAAGACCAGCAGGGACAATTTTGCGCCGAAGAGGCGACGCATTCGTGCCACCGACAGAGACATCTTCCAGGACAGAAAGTAGAACGACCGCCTGTGCGGCCGGTCCATCCCGTAAGAGCTCAAGCATGTCAAACCCGTCCGTCTTGATGTCGAGCGTCGCCGCACTCTCGATGAACTCCTTCATCATCTCCGACGACTCCGCCAAGTCAATGTCAGCATTGTCGATAACTTCGGGCCAGTCGCGTTCCTTCTCCGGCTGAGGGAAGTAGTGTTTGGCGATGAGCCCAAGGACCAACGCAAATGCGAGCGCCCCTGAAATGTTGTACTCTTCTGGTGGTTTGGGCGCATCGTCGTCCTCTCCTGGCGCATCGGTGTCCGAAGGTGGTGGAGGCGGGGGAGGAGGAGGAGGAGGAGGGCCCAGTGGTTCTGGTTTTTGTTGCGGCAGAGGCCTCTCCCTGAGCTTCTGCACTCTGGGTAATCCAGGGGTTTGCTCTGAGAGGAGTAATGGTGAATGCGTGGCTTGGGTGGATGAGAGAAGACGTACGTGATGGTGGTTGTCGTTGGCCGCCACGGCCCGGAGGCTGACTTTGTTGTGCTGGAGGTCCGCGACCTAAAGAGGGTTCAAGCTAGCATCGTTGTATTCCTGAAGCATGACTGAGTAGCGTACCTCCGTTGAGGTGTCCACGATGGCCACCTCCCGAAGACGGCCCGGCGTCCCCACCTCCACCACTGCCGCCAGCGTACATATGGTACGCGTACGAGCAACTCGAAGACGACGACGAAGAGGCGCCTCCACCCGACGCACCCCTCCTTCCCTTCGCCTTCGCCAGCACGACACCCGCCGTCCCCACAACAGCAAGTGAGACGCACAAAGCGACGAGCACGCCTGATCCACCCCTAACAGGTGGATCCTTCGCCTGCGTGGGCCGCCCACCGCCCGTGGTCCTCGTCGGCTCGTACACACCGTACAGTACGAACCCTCTATCGCTCTCGCCGTCGCCGTAGTTGCCCGGCTGAGGGCCGACGAAGGCCAGCGCGATGGTGCTGAGGATCCCCGCGACCTGGATGAGCGCCTTGATCTTGTCGGCGCGGCGTATGTTGCGACCCCACCTCCTGCTTGCCTTCAGGGCAGGGTAGACCATCCATGCGGCGTCGATTCCGGCGGTGACGGTGTCGAGGGACGGGCGGAGCCCCACGAAGGGGGTCGCGTACCCGTAGGCCGGCTGCAAGCCGACCGAGGAAGCTATGGTCATTCGATGGAATATAGTTTGGATGAAGATGAGGGCGAGTAGAGAAAAGTTTGGGAGCTGGTGGCGGTTTGGAAGGTAGCGACGTTTGGAGGCGACCAGAGGGATTTATAGGCGGTGGGATGGCTGACGGGCGTCAGCGAGATCGGTCCAGGTTCTCGAAGTTGAAGCTGATCGAGAGGGGTTTGCGGCGAAAAATACTAAGGGACATCGAGAGGAGCATATCGTCGTCATACTGTTGTTTTTCCTTTGTACGGATAGGAAAAGCCAGTCAGTCTCGAAAGTGCACCACAGTCCGGAGGCTGGTGAGCCGGGTCGACTAGACAAGTTGGATTGTGAATTCATCCGGAAAGAGTTCTGCTCGAAAGTAGGTACGGAAAGGCCAAAGGAATCCGCGGACAGCTGCACGGGAGTTGTACGTTCGAAACTTGATATGTCTAAGCTTCTAAGGCGCTGAAGTACTAGTGTAGTGAGCGTTCAAGTCAAAGTCCAAAGTCTGTTGATCCATCGGCCAACTCGGCCTTATCCGCTAAGTGTGGAAATCTATTTCCACGCATACTGTGGGAAGAACTCTGAAATTTCTTCATCCACACAAAGTGTGCTGCTCATCGACGCAGACGTCCCGCTCGGCCCCTGCCTTCCCTGCTCGGCCTTTTGCCCTCCAGTCTCTCCACATCCCTCGCAGACCCCTTCCATCTCGATTCTCCCTGAAAAGTTGTACACCTCCACCTCTCCCCAGCACCCGAAAACCCACCAAAAACCAAAATGCTCGTGCTATACGAGACCGCAATGGGCTACTGCCTGTTCAAAGTGACCGACTCTGCCAAAATCGAGAGCGCCGATCTCTGGGAGGAGTTTGAGAGCCCGCAGAAGGCGTCTAAGCTGTGAGTCCTCATTCCTTTTCCCCACCCTCGGAAAACATAGCATCCTGACTTTTTTTTTCTTACGCAGACTAAAGCTCAAGGCCCTACATCGGTTCACGTCAACCGCGACGGCCGTCGAGGACATTACCGCCATCCAAAGCGGGAAGCTCGGGAAGGGGCTGAAGCAGTTCCTCACGGACGAGATCGTGGAGAAGGGCAAGGGCAAGGAGTCGCTCGTCGTGGTTGATCCCCATCTCGGTTCGCTTCTTTTCCCCAGCCTCTTCTCTTTCCTTTGGTTTAAATGTCGTTCTTGCGTTGGATAGGCCGCTCAATCACAAAAAAATTGGGCATCAAGGTGAACACCGTCGGCGCGGAAGGGCAGAACGGCGACCTCTGGCGCGGGATCCGGAGCCAGCTCGCGGCGCTGCTTGACGGGCTGGACCCCAAGGACCTGGCGACAATGAGTTTGGGTCTCAGTCACTCACTATCACGGTACGTCGTACCGGTGGTTTGAAATTTGAGTGGAGGATAATCTATTATTTGGCTTTGGGGGACAGGTTTAAACTCAAGTTCTCGCCTGACAAGGTGGACACGATGGTTGTTCAGGCCATCGCACTGCTCGACGATCTCGACAAGGAGACTAACATCTACGCCATGCGAGTAAAGGTGCTTATACTACCTCCCAACTTGCGATTCGGAAGCTGACAATTCGTGAAGGAATGGTACGGCTGGCACTTCCCCGAAATGGCCAAGATCATCGTCGACAACGTCGCCTATGCGCGCACCATCCGACTCATGGGCTTCCGCACCAACGCCTCATCCACCTCATTCGCCTCCATCCTCCCCGAGGACCTCGAGTCCGTCCTCAAAGCCGCGGCGGAGATCTCCATGGGCACCGAGATATCCGACAGCGACATCGCGCACATCCACGCCCTGTGCGACCAGGTCATCTCGATCTCAGCATACCGCACGCAGCTCGCGGAGTACCTGAGGAATAGGATGAACGCGATCGCCCCGAATTTGACGGCGTTGGTTGGAGAGCTGGTTGGGGCGAGGTTGATCAGCCATGCGGGGAGCTTGTTGAGCTTGGCGAAGCATCCGGCGAGTACGGTGCAGATTCTTGGGGCGGAGAAGGCGCTGTTTAGGGCGTTGAAGACGAAGCATGATACCCCCAAGTATGGGCTGATATACCACGTATGTGCTCCTCGCAAAGAACCACTTCTTCTCCACTAATAATTTTTTCAGGCCTCACTTATTGGTCAGGCACCTCCAAAACTAAAGGGCAAGGTACGTTAAAATGTCCCAAAGCTTGACAAACCATAATCTAACGTACCATAACCTCAGATGGCCCGCATGGTAGCAACAAAAGCCGCGCTCTCAATCCGCGTCGACGCCCTCACCGACGCCGACGGCAAGTCTGACACCTCCGCCTCCTCAATCGGCATCACCAACCGCGCCAAGCTCGAATCCCGACTCCGCCTGCTCGAGCACCAGGCCGATGGGTCCGCCGTACGGCGCTTCGCCTCCTCCTCTGGGGGCAAGAAGCAGGAACGGTTCACGATGGGCGGGGAGACTGCGACGTACAACACGAAGGCGGACGAGGTGGACTTGGTGACCACGCAGAGGGATGTGAGACAGTCAGCACAGGAGACGGCGGAGAAGGTAGTGTTGGAGACGAAGGAGGAGAAACGGAGGGCAAAGGAGCGGAGGGCGAAGAAAAGGGCCGAGAAGGAGAGGGCCGAGCAGGGTTCTGAGGCTAGGGCACCGTACGAAGATGGGATGGACGTAGATGGTGATGAGGAGAAAGAGAGGAAAAAAGAGAAGAAGGAGAAGAAGCGGAAGAGAGAGAGCGACGCGAATGGTGTCGCAATGGATGAGGATGGGAAGGTCAGTAGCCTTTTCCTTCACTTTTCTGTTTTCTTTCTTATGCTTACGGACTATGCACCTCAGGAAGAGACAGAAGAAGAGAAAAAGGCACGGAGAAAGGCGAAGAAGGAGGCCAAGGCGGCTGCTGCGAATGGTAGCGATTCACCGAAAAAGAAGAAGAAAAAATCGGAGGCATAGTCAATGTCGATGTTATGTCCAGAACTCTAATCATTTGTTTTGTATCTCTGCTATAATTACTTCCTTGCATCTACTACGTTCCTGTCTGTTCTAAACGCGTTTGGTGCACACTGCGCAGAGTCGGTCCCCGCTACACCCGACTTCATGATATCGCACGACTTTCTCAGTGCGTGCCTTGGTAAAGGCCAACGCGCACTTCCATCTCCCACCACCACCGTCCCTTCTAGTCCTTACCTATTTATCAACCCTAACAAAAGATGGGGAAAGCGCAGCTCGAACGAGCCCCCGTCATAGTCGTCACCGGGGCGAATGGGTGAGTCCACTTGGCAATCCTATACATTCAGACAACAGAAAAAACCTGACACGAGACCTCGATCTTCCTTTTCCCTGCATCTACTCATCTTTTTCTTACTTCCACCTACGAATCTCAACACGAACACGTCCGCGACCACAACTACCTCAATCACCCAGCGGCGTCGGCTACGGCATCTGCCAACGCCTCCTCTCCCAACTGTGCCAGCTCAACCCGCCCGACAGCCTCCCACAAACCTTCTCTTCCCTCTCTCCCTCTTCCTCTTCCTCCAGCACCTCAGATGACGACAAACCCCCAGCAGGCTACGAAGGCCTCACCCTAATCATGGCCTGCCGGAACACCCGACGCGCCGAGGCAGCTAAAGCAAAGCTGCTCGCGTGGTTCGATGCTTACATCGTGGATTTGGCGAGGGGGAAGGTCAGGGAGGGGGCTAAAGGTGGTAGTGGGAAGGAGAGGACACGAGAGGAGAAAGTGTATACAGAGGCGTTCCGCGCGAGGGTCGACGTACGGACCCTAGAGCTCGACCTCGCGTCCTTCAGCAGCGTCCTCAAGTTCGCATCTGCCCTGCGCGACCTGTACGTCCTCTCTCTCTCCTCCTACGCGTCTTCCATCTACCCTTCCTCCTCTGACATGATTATACTTCCAACAGAGTGCCCTACGTCTCGCACCTCGTGTTCAACGCCGGCGTGGCAAGCTTCGAGCGGATCGACTGGTACCTCTGCCTGAAGCAGTTCCTGACCGACCCGGGCACGCTCATCACAGCGCCGACGTACTACACCCAATACGTCGGGGAGCGGAGTGCTGATAACCTCGGCTGGGTATGGCAATCGAATGTCTTTGGGCATTTCGTCCTCGTACGTGAACTCCTCTACCCCACTGTCTCCTTCAAACCCGCTGAACTGAATTCGATTCGTGATTTCAGTTTCGCGAACTTGAAAAATCAGGCCTCCTAACCGCCTCTTCGCTCAGGAACTCCCCCAAAGTGATCTGGTCATCCTCGCTCGAAGCATCGCCCAAGTTCTACGACGCGGACGACTGGCAGCTCCTCAAGACGGGCCATTCGTACGAGAGCTCGAAGTACCAGATCGACCTGATTGCGACGAATTTGGACCTACAAGCGCAAAGCCAACCAGAAGGACAAAACAAAGTGATACGGCATTTCGTCTCCGAGCCAGGCGTGTGCTCGACAGGCATCAGTTCAGCGCTCGTCGGACCCTTTCTCGATCGCGTGAAGGTCTGGTCGTTCTACCTGGTACGTCTTTCTCCTCAAAATTTGTGCATATATCTACGCATATATCTACGCATATACTCACACCCATTACTCCAGGCCCGCATTCTCGGTTCGCAACACCACCCCATCCTGCCCTTCAAGTCCGCCATCGCCGCCGTCCACCTCGTGCTCATGCCCATCCTCTTCCTGCCCTTGTTCCTCCCCCTCAACAGGGCCACGCAACCTGTGGGACCTGTGCGCTTCGGGGCACACACAGACCACTGGGGCGCCGAGCGCGTGGACGTAACGCCCGTGAAGGAGTGGGAGGCGCATCGCGAGGAGGGCCAGCGGCTCGTGGAGAGGTGCGATCGGCTGTATGAGGAAAGGAAGAGGGAGGAGCGGGAGTCTGTGAGGTCGGAGACGGCGAGTGAGAAGATGTAAAAGTAGAATGCTTTTTTGGCCTGCGGGAAAGTTGTGCGTACCGCTGCTCTATAGACTTGGGGATCTCTAGTTACTTAATTTGAATACAGGTAGAGGTAGAGTAGAAAGACTATTGAATGCTTTCAGACCCTGCATTCGCCACTGACATTGTCGGAGCAGTTTGGTTTCGTATGGAAGGCCGGCCCGGCTCAGAGCATGGTGTGGCGCACTGCGGATTGAACTTGGCTCTGAACTTGAACATGGGCATACTATTGGGTGTCCTCGAACGCACTCGAACACGGAGCAGAAATGTTACACTCAAAGTCTCATCCACATCGTTCGATTTTACTTACTAGTAACGAATGCTTCCTACCTCCGCCTGCACTTCACCGGTCACCACTTTACCAGCGGCTGACCTTATAAACCGCCCGGCGGCCGCCCACAACACTTGCATTCCGACCTAGTCAACCTCCCCGCCTCCCTCTAGTCCAGTCGGATTCCTCACCGTCAGCCTCCCCGATGCTCTATATAACCCCCTTCCCACCGCCCCTCCCCTCCAGAACCCAAACTCGAACTCGCATCCACATCCACATACCAGCCCCGCAGCTTCAAATCCAACCACCCAACCATGCCATTGAACTTCTTCACCCCCTCCTACGGCACCTCCTTCGCCGGCCTGCGCCCCTCCGTTGTCAACGCTGGGGTCGTCGCTGCAGGTGCCGGCGCTGTCGCCCTCCAACCCTTCCTCCCTCCTGGTCCAGGCACGGGCCGCGCCAACCCCTTCCTCATGGGTAGGGGCCGCTTCAAGCGCCTCCTCGCGTTCTCTGGACTGTTTGCCCTCATCGGGCTCGCTTTTGCGCTTCGGTACCGCCCTTCGATCACGAACGTGAACACGGCTGGTGATTCTGCTACCGAGGCTTCTGTTGTTCAAGAGGACGTGGTTGTTGTGCCGTTCGATGAGCCCTCTGTCGCGGACCCTGTCGCGGAAGATGTCCTGGACGTCGTCGATGCCGAGATCTTTGAGCCTCCGCTCCCAGTCGTGGTGCTGCCGCCTCCACCACCGCCCGCGGACAGTACTACCTTCACGGGAATCCCCACCCCAACTGTCAACGAGGAAGCTGCTCCAGGAGAAGGAGAAACCAGTTATGCCATCTGCGGCGCGGCAGCATGCGCCACACTCATCGCCGGGGCTGCCGTTCTCTTAAAGTCAAGGAACAACACCAAGTCTTCTGAATCGGCTCGTTCTCCTCGTCAAAGGAGGCGGGCGGACTCTTGTCACAAATGCGGTACCCCGTTCAAAGCTGGTCAAGGCAACGCTTTGTTGGGCCACGAAAGTGATGGAAGAAACGTAGTAGACGACGGACGAGGTACGCATATCACGATCCTCACCCCTTCTTCGGAGGCTGACACTGTCGAAGTTATGGCACAGGAAAGTCCTCCTCGAGACGCTAGGCCTCTTGGTAGACCCGGCACTCCCCATCCTAAACGCCGTAAGTATTTTCACACTTTTCAGAGGCACCTATTCTCAGTATACTCCAGAGTATTCGGAGGACGCTGCCGATGATGATGAAGACGACGATGAGGATGACACTATCACAACATTGACTCCTCCTCCCGTTCCACGCACAGTTGTCGCGTCCGAGAACATTGTCAGCCATCCTAGCTCGTCGGGTAGGCGCTGGGGTGCCGCCCTCACCGCCCTCTTCTCGGGTCTCGTCGTCTTCGGTCGTTCGGCCGCCAAACACCAACGCGACCAACGCACTCGATCCTCTACCTCTAGCCCTACATCAAGAAATTCCAAACCTAAAAAGCCCGAACCGGAACAGCCCAAGGAACCCAAGCCCGAGGTCTTCCCGGAGGGCATCCCGTTTACTCTCCACGAAAAAGTCACACCCGACATCAAATGCAACTTCAACATCCTCGACATCCTGCGCGAGTCCGCCGCGCTCACAGGCACCTACGGCGTCGACCTCCCTGCGCCTCCGCCGTCTTTCGTCTCTCCAGCCCCTCTCCCTTCCCAGCCTCTTTGCCCTCCAGCCCCTCCTCCTCCTACCTTCGCAACAACCCCCATGATCTCTTCCCCACCCCCAGCCGCCGTCTCCGTCTCTGCACCGCTCACGTTCCTAGCTCCTGGCTTTGGTGGAGGACTCGATTGGGTGGCATGCTATCTGCATCTCCTATGTGGTCTGGTCTGCTTTATGGTGCTCTCGTTCTTCCCCCTGCCGGAAAGGATGACGGGTGAGACGGTTGCGTTACAGGTGGAGGAGGCTGATGCGAGGCAGCTGGCAGCTGAGAAAGAGGAAAAGGAAAAGGAGGAGCAGGAGAGAGAGCAGGAGGAGAGAGAGGAAGAGGAGGCGGAGGAGGAGGAAGAGGAAGAGGAAGAGGAAGAGGAGAACGCCAAGGGAAATCCCGAGCCAACGATCGTCGGCGATACCTCGGACTCTTTCGTTGCGCCACAATCCCCTTCTCCGGCTTCCTCTTCTAGCGCCAAGGCCATCATACAACCCCTGCAGTTCCGACCCCACCAACCCCTACCCGCACCCGCCTCCGCCTCCACCTCCGAATCGCTCATAGACACCAAACCCACAACCCCATGCATCCCCTCCAACCCATCCCACGAGCCCACCGCCGACGCCAAGCACAAACTCAAGCTCAAGACGCCGACGAACCTGAGCATCGAAGAGCCCTTGTTCGAGACGCCCGCTGAGACGTTCTGCACGTCGGACCCGGAGCGCGCGTCATCCTCTTCCGACGATAGCGAGGGGACTCCCAGGACTGTTGTGCCTGGTGGTGCGGAGGGTGGTGCGAAGGGCGATTTGGCGGTGAAGGCGAAGGAAGTGAAGTCGAAGGTGGGGGACGAAGTTAACGAAGTGAAAGAGGAGGTGGTGGTCGTCCACGAGGTGCATGCAAAGACGGAGAAGCAGGGGAAGGGGAAGGAGAAAGAAAAGCCGAAGCATCTGGTCGAGTCACCAATGGAGCTGATCGTGGACGCGTCGTACAACATGTCCGACTACCTCCCTCCACTCTCCACCGAGAGTCTTGTCGAAGTGCTGGAAGTCGTATCGGAGGAACAGGTGAGTCGCGTTGCTCCATTATATAATCGAGAAAAGCTGACACGAGTACAGGCAAACGTACCTGTCCTCCCACCTGCCGTCGAGAAAGTCGACGAATGCAAGCCCGAAATAGAGGAACCATTCGAATTCCTACCCGTTCCTCGCAGGGAAAGAAAGAGCCCTACTCTAGAGATTATCTACGAGTGGGCGTGCGACTTGGAGGTACTTATCCCTGCCTCTTTCTCTTGCATCTTGCATCCCTAACACAGCCCTTCCCCCAGCTGGGAGTCTACATCGACGTCCCCTCCGAAGAATTCAAATCGTTTGAGACTATATCGCTCACAAACGACAACCTCAACCCCCGCTACATCTTCGACCTGGGCATCCCGCCCGAGATCAAGGCGAAGTTTCCTACCACTCTCACTGGGGACGAGAAGCCGAAGGAGTGGTATACAACTATTAGTGGGACGCCGAGGTTGCTCGAGGTGCGTTTTTCTTTCATTTCCTCCCTTCATCCCGAGGCGAGCGTTGAGCTAATGATGATTTGGTGTGCTGGACAGAGCTCGACGCCTAAGCGCCCACGGACCGCGTTGTCTACGAAGATCGCCCGCCCAACCACGACTGCAGGCGAGACGAAGACGAGCTCTGTAGCTCCTACGGCTCCGAGTGCCAGTGCTGGTATTAGTGCCCCCACCCGCATCCCAAAGACAGCCGCTGAGCGCAAAGCCTCCGTAGACCGCATGCTAGAAGAGCGTGCTCGTGCTCGTGCTGCCCAGGCTGCTACCCAACCGGTGCAAAACGATGCCAACACCAGAGCCGACAGCGCTACGACGACCGGCGCTCGCGCTCGTACTCGGCTTGTGCCCTCCTCCGCCTCAATCCCTCCTGCGCGAAGGACGCTGACACCCGCCGAGCGCAAGGAGTGGGACGCGACACTGCTCAGGGCGTCGAGGAAGGGCAAAAGGAATGAAAAGGCGGAAGAGGGGGAGACGACACCCAAGGCGTGCACATCGGCCGCCATTCCCGCTGACAAGGCCAGAGACGATGACGGGACTCCCATACAGCGCGCTCAAATGAGTGTGAGCGCGAACCCTGTTGTGCGTACCAGCGCTGAGAGACGGGCAGCTGTCGACAAGCGTCTGGCGGAGCGGCGTGCGCTCAAAGCTGCTGAAGCTGCGACCTCCACTGGGCCGTCGTTGTCCGCACCGACCACATCTGCTGCGTCTGCCATGTCGTCTTCGTCTGCGCCACGCCGGTCCGCTCAACCCTCCTCGCCTACCACAGCTTCGTCTGCTTGGCCCAGCGACCGCGAACGCCGAGGATTGACCACATCCTTCTGGGCTCCAACCTCCGCGCCATCTTCATCTGCCCCACTCAGCTCGGCGCCATCCTCCTGTATCCCCGCTACGGTTGCCGAGCGTGCCGCTGCCAGGCGGCTTCACAGGGAGACGCTGCTGTATCTTCCACCCGAGCTTCGAGTGCCCTCCAACGCAGAACGCACGAGGCAGGCCGAGGAGGCTCGCGCTAGAGAGTCGCAGCAGCAACCTCCCGTCCAAGAGGTGCAACGAGATATCGAGCAAATGGAACGCGACGCGGAACGACAGCGTATGCTTCGTTCCCAGCTTCCCAAGATGAGCGATGTGAAAGAGGCTCTGGATGGTGCCGCATCTGTCTATGCACGCCGGGAGAGGGAGCGTCAGCGGCTTGCCAAGCTTGCTGAGGATGGCGCGAAAGAGGCACGGGAGAGAGAGCACAGACTTCGCTCTCAGCGCGCAGAGGGCGCGAGCGCTAAAGAGCAGCGCCGAGGCACCGAAGAGCTCAAGGTGGACCAAGCGAGAGCGGCACGGGAACGGGAGCATCGGCCCCACAGTTCGCAGCGTGCCTCGGGTTCGACCACGACAGCCACGGCGACGACAACAACTACAACTACAAGGACGTATACACCGGCCACAACAACAAGAGCGTCGCCCAACTGTCCATCGACATCAGCCAAACGGGTTGACTCGACCCCAATGCCCAAGGTGGAAGACGACCTATTCTCTGAGAGTGGGACCCCGGCGGGCGTACCTATGCGGCCGTTCACGATCAAGCCGCCTCCTCGTGCTAGGTGGCTGCCTCGCGGGCTCGTTTGATAGGCGGCTTTTCTTCTAGTTCCTAACTCATGGCGATCTCTGTAAGTTCTATGATTTTCTTTCATCTCGGCACATCAACTTAACGACCTTTTAGTCCCACCCCAAACGAAACACCACCAATAATCGAGCACACCACCTCAACGCAAAACGCATCCCAAAGAGCGCGGGCGGGCTGACGAGCTCTGCCCTCGCCACCCATCAGCCGAGGGCGTCGTCTGACGAGATTGGCGCCCAAGGCACACCGCGCCGTAGCAAGCTGTGCAACGGGGCCGTTGACGAACGTGCTCTGTTGTGTGGCGGCGGCGCGGTGTCCGGTGCATGAGGGGGAGAGGCGGGGCTGACGAGCTTCCGTTCTCTTTCACTTGTGCGTCGGGATGGGTGTGGAGCGTTGAGGGTTGCCGTCTTGGGACATCGACTACTGGGACAGGGATTTGGATCACCATTGGAGCTCAAGCGCTCACTCGCCGCCACGCCTATCACGAACACACGAAAACGCCGCATCGAACGCACATATCAACACATTTCTCTATTCTCTTCCCTCCATCCCATTCTTCCTTCTATCTTTCCGTATCGGACACACACATATCATGAAAAAAATTCTTCCCTTCTATTCTCTCATTCTCTATTCTCTATTCTTTTTCTCTCATTCTCTCTTTCCCTTTCATTCTCTATCTTTCCCTTTCATTCTCTATCATTCCCTCTCTCTCCATCTGTTCCACCCATCTAGATTCTTCTACTCTCCTATATCTCTTTCAATTTCCTCGATCATACTTTATTATAATTTATCATCATTATTTATCAGACTCCCTCCGTCGTTGTATTTAGCCCTCATGTATTCTCGGGCACGGACTTCCAGTTTTCTCTTTCTCTTCTCTGCCTACAAATTATCCTACTTGAAACCAATTAATTTTCTTTGCACCAATTTTTTCGGTCTCAACTGGTCGGATTTTTGTTTCTCATGAAATTGAATCCCTCCTTCCAACTCCTTCAGGAGTATCTGCAAATTCTTCGTCACGGTGCTTTAAAGACGAATATTACGTAATATAATGTTGACCCTAAACAGGGAATTATATCCAAAATCGAACTTCACCTCGAACCACCATCATCGTCATGCTTCAGCAAGCTTTCGGTCAGTTGAAACCTCCATCCATCTCACAATGGGCAGATCAAAACGGCGGGACATAATGGGGCTTCATCAACACCGTCATGATGACACTCGTCACTAGAAAGAAGCCTCAAGTTCAAGAGCTTACTGCCAGAAACCTCAGTTTCGACGCAAACTTGAATGAGTAGCAGAATGAGGTACAAGTACGTGTTTCCTTCTCATAGTGTCTCCCCAACAGACAAAACCGGCCCCTTCGACAGGACGATCACTTCCGCACTCGATCGCCCAACGTACCGACAAACGCGACGACGCGTCGTGGAGCAAACTTTTCCTAACAAATCAACGATCTTGGAGGGTACAAATACAAGTGGTACACCGAGTTATCAGATCAAGACGGATAGCGCGTCTTTCAACTCTCTATCGCTCCAACTTTCGGCCACTCGCCCAACGAGCAACTCGGGCATCGGGTCGCCACCAACGCCATGTTAGTTCAAGAACCTTCCCCGCCCACGTGTGTGATGGCCTTTATCGGACTCCGCCACTCGCCGTTCAACGCAGCCCTCACCTACAATGTCCGCCAGACCCCTGCTGCGCTCGCTCTTTCCGTAGCCACGTCCACCCTCATCAGCACTGCTATCCTCGCCCACCTCGCCAAAGGCCGTTCCAACCGCCGAGTCATAGAGGACATCCGTACAAACACGACGCACACCAGCAACGACGCCGCCGTTGCTCATCCAACCTGTCCCGTCGATTTTGGCTCGGGCGATATTCTCGTGGAGCTCGTTTGTCCCACCCCCTACGCCAATGCTGGTCCAACTTGCGACCCAGCCTTAAGGCTGAACACCCTCGAGCTTGACTACTACTGGCAAATGTTCATTCCCATCTGTGAAGTTGGTGACGGGCCTGGAACGGATCTCATCGACCCTCTTCCTCTGCCAATGACGTCACCCGTATCACAACGCACAGACGTCGGCAAGTTCATTGCGGGTGATTTGGCTTTCAATGGAACACGTATGTATAACTACCTCAACTGAAGATACCCATCTAATGCTTATCGTAGGTGGTTACGATCCCTTTCTGCCATTACGTGCCTGTCTCTCTACCGAGGGTTGCGACAACAGTAAGCAACCGTGTAATCGTAGCTGTTGACCACACTCACAGCGACGTAGACTGTTCAGTGTTCCAAATCGACGCCATGGAGAAAGCTATCTTGTCTTCTATCTTCCCTCCGCCTGCAGACTTCACTTTCGAAAACCTTAATTTGAAGTCCATTATTGCTGGCCTCACCGTCCTTATTGACATACGCAAACGTCCTTTCAACGTTACCATCACTAGATACGTCCAAGGCAACCCCTCCGCCTCTCATTCAATGCACTGCCTTCCTCGTGAGGGTGCTCGCTTCATCCCAACGATGATCGCAAGGCATATCGCCACCACTGTCCTAACTGCCATCGAGCAACAAGTGGCCAAGTCATCTCATTTCTTCGCGGTCGAAGCAATCCCTGGTGTTCTGCAAACTGTCAACCTTATTCGCGAAGAGCTCTCTTTCGAGAAGATCGAGATCGTTGTTGCTCTTACTGTGCTCGCCGTCTGCCTGGTCAAGGCACTTCTCTGCATCTTGTGCAAACTTTCGTGGATCTTCGGTCGAAAGAAACCTCAAACCACCGGTGCCTTGGTACGTTTTCTGCCACATTTGAATTACCTTGTCTGATCTTTCGATCTGAAAGCTCTCAACATCCACACACGTCACCACCATCGACAACTTGGAGATGGATGCCATCTCGGATGCCATCTTCAATGCTCTTCATCCTCCAGGCTCCTTTCAAATCGGTGCGAACATCCAACAAACCTTAGCTACCATACGAAGGCCGGACACTATCCTCACCTCGGCTTCTTTCTCCTTTGACCTCGCCCCTATCGCCGAAGCCACCCCCAAGGACAATCTTGTCAATGATGATGCGCCTGTCGACGCTGACGTTACTCTCGTCGAAGAGAACGCCATGTCTTCAGTCGTCGACGTTCATTACGAGCTCGCGTTCGACCCAGACGAGACTTTTAGAGAGCACAACTATACAACGGATATCGACGGGGAGGACTCGCTGAAGGAGCGAAAACGCAAACCCAGAAAGCGCGGTGGTGATCGTAGACGTAGACCTAAACAACCCAAGGTTGAGGTCGAAGTTGAGGTCGCTGTCGTTAGAGTGGTGCGTTTGTTTCGATCTGATTGGTTTATTTCAAGACTGATTTGGTGTCAAGACTGTCTCGACTACAACCGAGACCTTCTCTCATTCCACAGACGAACGCGCTCCTGAGCTCTCCGAAGACGATATCGAGGAAGAGATCTCTCTTGACTTCAAGGAAACCCCGACTATAGAAGTTGGGCAAGTCTCTAGCGAGGTAACTTTTCATTCCTCATGTTCCGCAATTCTTCTGAACCTCATGAACGTAGGCTTCTTCTTGGTCTTCTAAATTCTCAAGGCTGAACCCTGAGGCGCCCGACTTCGTCCCGGTCTCTTCTACTTCCTCTGGCTCTTCTGTTCCTGCTCCAGCTGATAGTAACGCGATTCAACCTCCTGCTGTTCCGACCCGGACTCCGATCTCTGCTCGCCCTCCTGGCCGTCGGCGCCGAAAGCACCATCGGAAGAACAAGAACAAGGAGATTGAGGATGGACGGACTGGGGGCTCCGACGACGACGAGAATCCCTCCTCTCTCGATTGAGTCCTGATGACTAGTCGATTGTGGCGCTACTTGGCTTCTGGCGACGAAACAGCTTTTTTATTTTCAAGCATTCTGGATTTTGATTGGGACTCATGAATTCGGCGATTCAACGATCTCGTACTCGACGAGCATCTGTGACGATGCCCTCTGGTTCGATGGCCTCTGTTTGTCTTGAGCGCCCCCTATGCTGTTCGTGTGCCGTTCAGTGCTTTCTGTACGCCGTCTTTGTGTCGGTTGTCTCGAAAACCTTGACGTTTCCCTCGCTTGATGCCTGCGTCTCCGTCTCTCGCCTTCGGATGGCTAGTCCCATCCATCCTCTGCTTGCTTCTCTCTTCTTCTCGTCATTACATAACTCTGCCATTTTACATGTGTTCCTTTCGTTCGCAGATGATCCTGTACATGATCCTATCACCTTCCGGATGTATTTTTGTTTTTCTCTCTAGAATGGATATCTTTCCGGGCCTCTCTTGAGCTCTTTGTGATCCTTTAAAAGACCTGTCTTATGCGATAACTCGCAGGTTCATTATTCGCGCTCGAGTAAGTACGTGATGTAGACACCCGAATAAATTTTAATGAATGAGAGAAATCACACAGGAGCCATAGTCAGTGAAGGCCCCCTCGAGACTGAATCAAGTGTCTTACCAATATGTTTCCCAACGAAAACGCGATTGTATTTGTAGCAGCGCGATACTTGTCCGTTAACTTCTCTGTCGAACCGGCATAGGCCCCAAAAGAAATCAATCAAGCTCTTCGAATATGCGTAGAGGGAGCCGTGCTTGGCACGCTTTCTAGCTCGTGAGCGATGCTGCTTCACCCCCATTTAAGCCCTTCCGCCAATTTATCAAGGGCCAAAAGGAGCGCATCAAGATTGTTGGAGCGAGTATACAGCGCTATACATATCTATTACCCTTGCGATAAATCCGAAGAAGTCCATCATACTATTTCATAGGACAGAGAATAACTGAAACGATACGCGGCGCGTCAGTTCTGCGTGGTAGGGGTAGATCCTTCCACTGCTGGGACCACTCGTCCTGATTCGTTGGTGCCTCCTGGCCCACGAAGAGCCGTCAACTTGGCATTTCGTTCCTGCTATTCTCGAAAAAGAGTATTAGAAAGGAATTATATTGCACTCGTTGAAAGCGCTTACCGTGTGCTCATCGTTGGCTTTCATGGCAGCCTCTACTTTTTCCTTCTTCGCATTTAGACTTTGCTGAATTTTCCCGTCATTCTTCGTCAACGCCTACCACAGCCAACTCAACGACAACTCATTTCTGCACAAATGCAAAGCACACACCTCCAAATCGTGCTGTGCTTTATGAACGTCGGTTACGGCAACATCATGGGCATGTTCTGCTTTATGGAACTTCTCGAGAGTCTTCTGTTCGTGTTTTTCTGCCTTCTCTAAAGCACGCTCGGCCTTGACCGCAGCCTAAACCACAAGCCGATTATTCTCCGAGCGACAGATACCAAAAAAAGGACATACCTTGTGCGCCTTGCTCTCCATCTTCTCGGTTTTCGAGAGGTCCTTGATGGTGCTTTTGAGGGTTTTCTCCTCATGCTTTGCTTCGTTCTTGATGTTCTTCTCGACCTTTTTGATGACGTCTGGTGAGGTTGAAGAGGAAGACAGGGGTTCCGTAATTTGCAGGGTGCTCATGGTGGGTGTTTTTTGGAGTGTAGAACAGTAACTCTCGTCCTTTTGAGTTAGCCTGGCACGAGGAAAGGAGGCGTCGGGGATTTGGAGTGTGCAGTGACGTCATTCGGAGGATTCTTCAAGAAAGGAGAGTCAATTGTTCCACATTGCAAGAAAACGCCGCGTATTCAACATTTGTTCGCTAATTCGCAGAGCCTGTTGTGAAAGTGGGAAGAAAGAGATAAGTACAGGACCCCCGCGTCGGAAGTTGTCAGAACGTTAGGATGATTACATAAGTAATTCCAGCTGTCGAATGGGGGAATTTTATCCAAAACTGAACTCAACCTCAAACCAATCACACCGCAAGGTAGCATAGCAAATTTGAAGAAACACAATACACCTTCAACTACCCTTTATTAATTTATTATTTACTCTCGAGAGGAGGCTTCAATTCTTCGACAAATGGGTTACACTAACTGCCAACTTTACGCAACACATTCGGTGGCTCTTCCACTGACCGCTGGCGCGCGAGAATAGGACAACTTAGAGACCGAGTTGGCTCGGGAAAAGGTCAAATCGTTTTGTTTTATGCAAAGTTCAACCAACTAAAATTAGTTTTTCTCTAGTTGTCCGATCACTTCCTCTCGATCGCAAATCATGACGAGCATGACCAGACGCGTCGACGCGTCGCTGCGCAAACTTTTCCTAACAATCAACGATATGAAAGGTATATATGCAGGTGGTACATTGGGATATAAAAGCCGTACATTCTCCGCCTTCCTCCACCACTTTTGCCCACTTGCTCAACAAGTAACAGCGCCATCAACCTTACTATGTTCGTTCGTGAATGCACCCCTCTCCCTTGTGGGCCAGCCTTCGCTCTTCGGCAGTCGCCCTTCGATGGTCCTGCTACAGTAGCTTTGGCGACGTCTGGCTTCGTCGGCGGTGTCACCCTCGCCTACTTCGTTCAAGCCCACTTCAACCGTCGCCTCCTCGCCGCTCCTGTGAATGTCACCTATGGAAATCTGAACCACACCGCCATTGTCCATCCCATTTGTCCTGTCGGTCCTTTGTCGTTCGACTCGGGCGATGTCCTCGACAAACTCATGTGTCCTACACCGTTCGACCATGGGGACCCTGGTCCGATGTGCGACCCGCTCTCGCGGATGCATGCACTGGAGGTCGACAACTGGTTCAGCCCGGCTTGCGAAGCTGGTGACGCTCCTGGAACCGACCTCATTGTTCTGCCTTCAGTACCGAGCAGCTCGCCTTTGACCACCTGCACCGATGTTGGAAGGTACATTCCAGGAGATATGATCGTCTACAGCACAGGTGTGTAGAAATCCCAAAGAACTCCTTCACTTTACGGAACCCGCCTAATACGAATAACGCCCAGGTGAACGTAGTATCTCTGTTTATTACGGTTCTACCCCAGCCATTTGGAGTGTCCGTAGCAGTATGTGTTTGATCAGTCATTGCTATCGCTTTACTTACTTCGACACATTGCAGAGGATCTTTTCTCCATCCACGGTTCCCAGAAGGTTTCCTGCTTGGCTGCATCCTTTTTGGCTCAACACTTGCCTCTCGACGGCCTTGATCTTAAGTCGATCATCGCAGGTCTTACTGTGATCTCTGGCCTGCACAACCACCGTGGTGTCCCTCTTCAAACACCCACTGTCGACGAGCTTGTTGCCGTCAAATCATTTACCGCTGCTTCTGTAGTATCGTCGCCTCGAAACCCTCGCCTCGTCCCAACCATGATGGAGGCCCAACTCGCCACTAGCGCTCTTGTCGCTGTCAACAACCCAGAGCCATCCGCTCGAACTCTCACAATCGCCCGACATATCCGAGACATCTCCAACTACATCTGCGTCCTCCTCGTATTCCTCTTAATCATTTTATGCATCTTCAAGACCTTTATCTACACCGAGTTTAAAGTCTCGTTCTACTTCGCCAAAAGGAGAATTCGAACCCTCCTGTCGCCCTGGTATGTTGTCTCTCAGTTCCTATTTTTCTTTAATCCACTCACTTTCGTTCTTCCAGGCTCTCGCGTCTGTATCCGCCAACGAGGTTAGCGAGGAGCAAGACGATTTCTTCTACCCTACGCCAATTCTCGTCGACGACACGTCTATCGAGGAAGTCCAAGCATCTCCTGTCAAGGACCACAACGTGCCCTCATTCGTCGACGCCCAATCAGTGGCCCCCGAATCCGAACAGGATGCAGCCGTCGAGGACATCAAAGAGGCTACACTTTCCGAGGAGGCTCGCCTCAATGTTATCGAGGAAGAAGTAAACGAGGAAACTATCAACTCTTCGGCCGAAATTCGACCAATTCCGGACGAGGTACATCTCTCATCTATGTAAATGACCTCAACTAACCATTAAATTTCATGCAGGCCACGTCCTCGGCCCACTCTTCCTTGCTCGACCCCGAAGCTTCTCCTTTCGTCCCCGGCGCTCTCAAACTTCCTTCTGCATCCACCTCCACCACTCTTGAGACTGTCGAATCTCCTCCAGCTCCTTCTGCCATCCCCACCCATATCTCTGCCCGACCTCCTGGTCGCCGTCGCCGAAAGCACCACCGGAAGAACAAGAACAAGGCGGTCGAGATCAACCTTTTGGGTTGATTCTCCCCCTTTGCAATTGGGTTCTTCTATACTTCGGCTTCTCGATCATGGGCAAAGAAACGGCACTTTCTCGCATGCAACACTGTGGATCTCCAAGGCGGCATCTATAGATTTGACGACTTCGATATTCTCGATACGCAACCCTACTGGACGGCGACTACTGCACCAAACCTCTCTGCGCGATGCGACTCTCCTGCTCTCCTGCTCTCCTCCAACCACGCACTCCAACAGCCAGCACACTTCCTCCCAGAGCATTAGCGGGCTGACGAGCTTGTCTGTGCTCTCCATCGTGGGGACCAGGGTGGGGTGTCGCCTGACGAGGTTGGCATCCCGCCCTCCGCACCTGGCTCTTGCGCGCGTCGTTCAGGGCGTTGACGAACGTCTTACCTCGCGTGCTGGAGTCGTGGTGTTCGGTGTGCAGGTCGAGGTTGGCGGGCTGACGAGCTTTGCTACCTTTTGATCTGCGCATCGACGACGATGGTCACCCTGACTGGGATCGCGGTCTGGGTCTGGAGGAGTGTTGAGAGTTGCATAACCTTTTTTGTCGCACACCGTCGCTCATCGCTCGTCGCCTACTTTTCTGTATCGGTCGTCTCGAAGTCCTCGCCGCACCTTGGATCCACCAAAATCTCCACTTGTATGCTGTTTCTCTCGCTCCTCATGCACCATCGCCTTCACATCTTCTTCATGCTCCTCTTCTGCCTCGACTTCATCTACTCTCTGGATCTCTCTTCATGGACTTCGATTTGTCTTTCTTCGATTTGTAGTTCCGGTTTGTAATTTAGTTTACCATCTGTCTTGTCGTCTTTTCTATGGAATATATTTCTCCTTCTGCTCTTCTCTTTCACGTTCGAACCGAGTGAAGCCTGAAAAACTTGAGATGAAAGAAATTTCCTGTCATCGGTGGCTTTGGACTTGGACTTGTGAGCAACACCTCATCCATCTTCTTTCGATAGCATTATGTTCCAGCTTCTATACGCACACGAAGAACAGCTAGCATAGTCGTCATGATGGCATAGGCAATCTGCATATACATATTTTTGATCGGGGACGACCCGCGTGGGCTGTATGTACGTATGTGGCGTGCGGGGTGAAAAAGAAAAAGCAAAAGCAACCGTGGTAGGAGATGTTTGCTTAAACCTCCTTGACCTTGACAGTACCGCGTAGCAGACCAGTCTACATGACGAAACGAGAATGAACACCTTGCAGGAGAAAACAAGAGCATGATTTGACGTACCCTGCGAGCGGCAATGAGACCGACTTTCTGTCCAGGAACAGCCGAGCGGGCAATAGTCGACGCCTTGCCGATATGCTGGTGGTTACCACCACCGTGAGGATGGTCCACGGGGTTCATCGCAACACCACGAGTGCGAGGCCAGTTGTACCTCTTCGCCTTGTACTTATGGAACGCCCGTCCCGCCTTCAACAGCGGCTTATCAATCCTTCCACCCCCAGCCACAATCCCAATCGTCGCCCTCGCCCCGCCAGAGATCGTCTTCTTCGCCCCAGACGGGAGGCGGATGCGCGTCTTGTTGTCGTCGGGCGAGTGCCCGATGACGGTGGCGTAGTTCCCCGAGGTTCGCGCGAGGGCGCCGCGGTCGCCGACCTTCTCCTCGACGTTGCACACGATAGTGCCTTCGGGGCACTGGGAGACAGGCAGGACGTTGCCGACGTTGAGCGCGGCCTTCTTGCCGCAGTAGACGAAGGCGCCGGTGTGCAGGCCCTCGGTGGCGATGAAGGTCTCTTGGCGGAGTTTGTAGCGGTAGGGGTCGCGGAAGACGACGCGAGCGAGGGGGGCACCGCTGATAAGTGTGTCAGGAAGGGGTGTTTGGATAAAATGGGTTTCTGGACGCACCGGCCAGCATCGTGGATGATGTCCTTCACGATTCCGCGGATGTAACCATTGCGCTCAGCGAAGTCGAGGTTACGCAGGCGGGCGGGGTTTTTGTTGTGGTGAGTGTGAGATTTGAACTGGAGTCGTGGTGGATGTCAGAAGGTTCGGATTTGGAGGTTGAATCGAGGGGACGTACGATGGCGTGCGAGCGCCTTTGTGCCCTGATAACCCGACCCATTGCGTTTTCTACAAGCAGAAACTGTCGTCAGCTTTCTATCCTTGTCGAAGTTGGGGTTGTGGGGAGAAGAAGAGTCCGTCCTCTCTAGTCCATCCAACGTGCAGATCGCCCATCCACCCGAAACCGCGTCGATTTTGACCTAGTTTTCGCTGGACAGCACAGAATACCATCCAGAGAGACGGCCGGCAGAGATTTTGGAGAGAGGACGAGCATACTTACATCGTGAGGTGTCTTGAGGAACGTTTGCTACGGTGAACACACCCACTACGGAAAGGTTGTGTAGAGGACCAAACATAGCCAAGCTGAGATTACATCATCTGAGTCCATTTATTTAACTCGCTTTCCCCTCCCCTCCCCGAGTCCAAGTCCCTCAGTTGGTGTCCTTACATCCATTGCAAATACTTTGGATCAATTAGAAAAAATGGGTGTTGCATTAGCTGCTCAAGAGCATAATTTTGAGGTTAACTAATGTAACCAGGACCAAGCTTCTTTTTGTTTCTCAGTCCTTTTTATTCTGAACATCGGTCTTCAGCTTCAGGAATAGTAACCCGAGTAATTCAATTGCAGAGACCGGTGGGCAGGAGGGATAGATAGTGCCGGACGGCGGAAGGAAGTGCAGCTGACACCCATTGTCGCATCGTATGTTCTTGGTATCACCGCATGGGAAGATTCATGTTGGAAAGCGTAGAATAGACGATATCAACGGACTCGGGGAATGATTTAGCGCAGTCGCAGACCGGAGACGGCCAGGCAGCGTAGATATGAGGCCAGTTGGTGGAGGAAAGTGAAGAGAGGACTAGGGGCCAGGAGGACGGAAGAGCGGAGGAATTGAGACTCCGCCGCCAAGTCGCATGGTGGAAGGAGAGATGGTAGCCTCGACTTTCCATGAGCTGATAGCTCCTACCTCTGATTAGCAGTGCTCAGCCCTCCGTCCGCCCGTCCTGCGTCCGGCAACTCACGCCCGGCTGCTAAGGACATGATTCATCTCGATCACATCGACCCAAAAGCCCTCGACACACCAGACTCAAAAATCCTTGCCTGGACAGACGATGCCCAGTTCCTCGACGTCCCCGACATCTCTGCCGACCACCCAGACGCCCTGAATGACCCAAAGCGGCCCGCACACAACGGCCAAGCCGCTCCTGCCGCCGACCCCGCCTCCTCCCCCAGCCCGCCCGACGCCAACTCCGCCGTTGCCGCCGACCGCAGCTCCTCTCTGTCCCCCGTCCCCGAAAACCCACACATGGCACTCGCAGAGGAGAAGGAGGCTCCTCTCGAGGTCCACGAGCGCGAGGAGGAAGAGGAAGACGAGGCCGCGCCTGCGCCAGCACCAGCACCCACCGACCCCGAGCCCGCGCACGTCAACGCCGCCTCCCGCCACCGTCCACCCCGCTCAGCGAGCTCTCCCCCGTCCCAGACGACCCGCCCGCCCCCCCAGACAGCGACGACCCGGGCAAAGACCCAGAGACAACCACCACAACCGACGACACACCCCAACAGTCCGACCCCACCACCTCGACGACCTCCAACCCCACGGTCCCTAACGGCACCCAGCACCCCGAAAACCCCACGTCCAGGTCCGCCGCGTCCACCTCGCCCACCCAGAACCAGTTCAACCACCCCTCTCTTTCTCATGACGCGACACACAACACGACTCTCACGACCTCAACGACCGCTCAGGATCCCAAGGTTGTACTAGTACTGGAGCTAAACGCCGAGCTAATAAAGTGCGTACTTTCTCTCTCTTTTCTGCATCCCTTTCTGCCCCCAGTCCTCGTGGCTGCAACTTTTCCTGCTGTTCGGTTCGGGTTTCGGTCCTTTTCTCGCGCCTATTCTTCACCATCACACTGGCGCTGGGGTGTATGCGTACGCTGTCGTCAATGCTTTTGTGAGCCAGAGTGTTGAGATCGATGGAGTCTGCCGATTGTCGATGGATTCGACGTGCAGCAGGCGTCGGGGATATCGGCCACGCAGCCTCTTTCTCGACGTGCAGCGTACCCTCGATACATGCCGACTTCTTTACCTTCACCTTCCTCTGGCCAGGTGGCCCAGGAGAGTCGTCATACCCTCCTCGTCGCTCCTATGGCTCGACGTTTCTCTTCACCTTTCACATACCTTGCTGCCTGATGCTGGCATATACGGAATCGAAAGGGGACGCTACATTCCTTCATCATCGCACGTCTGTGATTATGTCTCTCAAGGGGGGATGCTACCTCGTTCTACTGCGCACGTCTGTGATATCCTATGTGATATCTTCTTCCGTTAGATTGGGCAGACGCCGCACTGGCGTCCTGGTGCTACGCCCGCCCTTTCCCAACGAGTTCGGTTTGCACCCTTCCCCCATACTCCACACTTTAAACATCTGTCATTCGATGCACCCTCTCGAGGGCTGTCTCCCGAATCTACAGCCCCATTCTCTAGCAAACGCGCTTGTGGGTCATACCAGCTAGAAACCCAAAGCTCTCTTCCTCTGTCCCGTTCTTCTCACCCATCCTCCTTCTCTCTTCCTTTATAACCCACCTGTCCATATAACCCGCATATACTAACCTACCTTCCGCCCACAGAATTTGTATGCTATTCCAAAACAAAGGCATCTCCAACGGCGATCCTCGATTCCAACAGTGAGCCTCTTCCCCCTCGCATTATATCCGATCGTTTATCGTTCGCATCTCTATGTGTGTGTATGCCAGATTCTCGACACGACTGCAGTCGAACCTAACGTGGCTAGCGGCAGCGGCAGACCAGACGCGGCAAGGGGTGAGTATGCTTTTTTCGACTGTTCTTCCTTACCTGATCGTCTTTGCCCTCTTTCTTGCTCTTGCCTCTCCCCATCCTCGTTATATTGCCTTCGCCCTGACCCCTCGATCCCTTCGATGCATTCGAACTCACGGCCCGACTAACCCAGCCCCAGATGCCTTTCCCCATGCTCGACCCACTACCACCGATGGCACTTGGCGACACCGCCGCACCCTCGCTCGAGCGGATAAAGCAGATATATGCTGAGCTGCCGATGATCTTCAAAGACGTCCCACGACGACAGCTCGCACAGGGTGTGGGGATCGGCGTCTCCTCAGCCTCCGCCACCTCTACTTCCACACCAAACGCTGCTGGTGGTGCGACGTCGCCGCAGGCTACACCTGCTTCTGCTTCGGTGCAACCCCAAACACCCGCCCAAGGGCGAGGGCAGACACCTGGCACACCCACCCCGAGCACGCCCACGCCCGTATCGGCCTCGCACAAGCTGAAAAGGGAGAGGCAGGACGAGGGCAGCCTCGAGGGTGGGATGAACAAGAGAAGGGATACGGGCGAGGGCAAATCCGCCCCCAGCACACCGTCGACGGCGGGTTCGTTTAACCAGCAGCAGATGCAAGGACAGGGTGGGCAACAAGGCGGACAGGGGCAGGCAGGACAGCAGCAAGGAGGGCAGCAGGGGCCAGGAGGGCAAGGACAGATGATGCCCCCACCTTCAAGCATACCTGTCTCTTCTGGCGGCGGTGGTGGTGGCGGAAGTGGGTCGCAGTTCTCTGTACCTATAGGAAGTGCGAATGGCCAGCAACAACACCAACATCAGCAGCAGCAACATCAGCAACATCATCAGCAGAGGCCATCCTCTCAGCAAGGCCAACGCCCCTCCCACCAACAACACCACCAACACCAACATCAACAGCCAGCACCAAACTCCGCCTCCTCCACCTCTTCTTCCTCATCCAACCCCCCTCCCTCCTCCGCCCAAAGTCAAAGCCAAAATCCCTCTGCCCACCCTAACCCTTCCTCAGGCCCGTCAACCTCTCTACCCCTCTCCTCGGGTGCACAAACGAACGAAGCCCTCAACCTACCGAATATCGGTATAAACCCCTCCGAAGCCCAGTTGGCAGCGTCGAACAGAGAGAGGGTGAGGCAGCAGCAGATACGGATGGCGCAGCAGCAGGCGCAGGCGCAGATGATGGCTGCTGGAGGAGGAGGGGGTGGTGGTGGGATGGGTGGTTCGGGTATGGGAGGTGGTATGGGTGGAGGTCAGATGCCCGGTGGTGGGATGGGCGGCGGTGGTCCCGGTATGGGAGGAGGCGGTATGGGCCCGCAAGGCATGCAAGGCGGCATGCCCAACATGGGTATGCAGCAGCACATGCCACAGCAGCAGCAACAGGCAATGCGCCTCGGCGCCGCTCAACGTATGGGCGACCCCTCGAGTGCGGCTGGCGAGATGGGCATGGGCGGTCCTGCTGGCCCGTCGAGGATGGGTGGAGGCGGGATGGGCGGGTCGATAAATGGCCTTCCTGGAGGTATGGGCGGCGGGATGGGCGGCCAAGGTGGTATGGGCGGTGGCGGTATGGGTGGTGGTATGGGCGGACAAGGCGGTATGGGAGGTGGTATGGGCGGTCAAGGAGGTATGGGTGGTGGCGGAATGGGAGGGCAAGGAGGGATGGGCGGACAGGGCGGACAGGGCGTCAACAGCCTCGGCCTGAACCCGATGCAGATGCAGCAGGCGATGCAGATCCTGCGCACACCCGCGCACCCGATGATGAAGTACCTCATGCAGAACGTGCCCAATTTCGAGGGCCTGCCGCTGCAGCTGCAACTGCAGAGGCTCATGAGCACGAGGGTAAGTTGTGTCCCTTTCTCTTCCTCTCTCCTCTCTTCCTCTTTCTCTTTCTTTACGACCAAATTCTTTGTCTTCCCGCATATATGCACCCTTGAGCACTCTTGCTGACCGTACCTCTCTCAATAGGCCGCGATGCAGAACCGACATGAGCAGCAACACCAACAGCAGCAGCAACAGCTCCAACAACAGCAGATGATGGCTGCGATGGGCCGCGCGTCCGCCTCGCTACCAAACACAATGCAGGGCGGCTCGCAGCACGGCATGCAGTCGCAGATGAGTGCTGGTAGTATGGGGCCTGGTGGAATGGGCACTGGAGGTATGAGTGGTGTTGGTATGGGTGGTGGTATGGGAGGCGGTGGTATGGGCGGCAGCATGGGAGGTGGAGGAGGCATGTCGATGGGTGGCCCGAGTGCAGGCGGCTTCTCGGGCAATGTTGGCATGTCGCCGCCTCCGAACCAGATGATGGGCATGGGTGGTGGCGGAATGGGTGGTGGCAACCAGATGGGCGGCATGGGAGGAGGTATGGGTGGCGGTTCTGGTGGTATGGGAGGAGGTATGGGTGGTGGTGGCGGAATGGGCATGGGAGGCGTCGGCAGCATCGACCCGCGGATGATGAGCGGGAACATGGGTGGCGGCGGTATGGGCATGGGCGCAGGAGGCGGTATGGGAGGTGGAATGGGAGGCCCGAGTGGACCTGGAAACCTCACGGCTCAACAACAACAACGGCAGCTCCTCCTCATGCAGCAGCAGCAGCGCATCGCAGGGGGCGGTGGCGGGATGGGCGGAGGTATGGGTGGTAGCAATATGGGCCCCGGCAACATGGGCGGCGGTCCTGGCGGTCCTGGAGGGCAGTTTGGCGGGATGGGCGGGATGGGTGGCACAGGCAATGTCTCGATGATGCAGCAGCAAATGATGCAAGAGCGGATGCGCCAACAACAAGCTGCTGCCCAAGGAGGAATGGGCGTCGGCGCCTCCTCGCCAACACATTCGACATCACCTATGGGCCCCGACTTCCCCGGAGCCGGCGTCAACGCTGCTGGGCCATCGAT